GGCTCCAGCAGGTAGGAAGGGTTGGATGGCTGGGGTTGGCCTGGGACCCCTATCCTGGGCTTTCTTGCTCTGTGCTACCAGACTCCCATCTTGAGGCTCCTCTTCACCCCTGTCCCCGGAGTCTGCTCCTGCAGGGTCTGTCAGCCTAGCTGGGAGCCCCTATTTGCTCTTCCCTATGCCTGTCTGGTCCTCCCTGGACCCACTTGGCTCCTCAGCCCCTGATTCTGGGTCCTCCAAGTCTAGGTCAAAAATGGCCATACCCCCTGGGTTTATCTCTGGTTCGTCCTAGGTCCCTCCCTGTCTTCCCTTCTGTGCCCTCAATTCCCGATCCTGCTACACCCCACCTTGAACATCCTCTACCTCAACCCCGAGACTCTTCTATCCCCCCGTCCTGTCTTCTGCTTCTGGGCCCTGCTCCACCATGAGGGAATCCCCTGCAGCGTGCAGACACTGTCCTTGCACTGCCTCGCTCGCTGCCTGACCGCCTCTCTTCGCAGGCGCAGTCCGGATGCCCTGCCCTGGGCTTCCTTGGCTCCGCCGCCACTCGAGGGCCGCTCAGGCCTCGGCCCCAAGCTCCCCGGGCTCGCTGTCTACACCCCGGTCCCCAGGCAGGGGGGAGGAAGAAGAGGATGAGGAGGATGGGGACTGCACCCCGGGCTCGAGCCCCATCCTGCCCCCCGCATCCCCTGTGGAGTGCCTCATCTGCGTGTCACCCTTCGACGGCGTGTTCAAGCTGCCCAAGCGCCTGGACTGTGGTCACGTCTTCTGCCTGGAGTGCCTGGCTCGCCTGTCGCTGGCCACGGCAGGCGGCGGTGACGCGGTGGCCTGTCCGATGTGCCGCACACCCACGCGACTAGCCCAGCGCGGAGGGCTGCCCGCCCTGCCTACACAATCCGGCCTGCTGCCCCGCGAGGCGTGCGCCCCGCCTGCGAGCCAAGGCTCTGTGCGCTTCGACCGGCGCCGGGGTCTGCTCTACATGCGCCCGCCTCCTGCGCCTGGGTCGCGCAAGACACGTTCCGCGCGCCCGCAGCCTCCGCCTCCCCTGCGCCTGGGCCGCCCGCTGTCGCGCCGCCTGACTCTGGACAGCCCCACCTGGGCCTTTAACGCCGCGGTAGCACTGGCAGTGCTGGTGGCCGCTGGCCTGGTTGTCTCCGGTGTTTATATTTTCTTCCTCATCCCGCACGCCGCCTCTTCTGGTCCCGCACGGCCCCAGCTTGTGGCTCTTGCTCCGGCACCCGGCCTCTCCTGGATCCCGGCACAGCCCACGCCTGGGACGCCCTGGACCCCAGGCTCCACGGACCGTGACTTGGATGCCATCCTGCCGGGGGCTGCGGAGGGTGCACTGGAGCCCCAAAGGAGCCCCGCGGACACAGAGGAGGTAGAGGGGATGCTGGACAGGACCTTGGACCGTGAGTGGGAGGCAGAGGATGGCCCTGGATGGGCCAGTGGGGCACGAGGCAGGAGAAGGGTATGGGGGGCACAGTAAACACGTCTCTGCTGCAGATCCAGTCTTCGATCCTGGGGATCTCGGTTTTATCCTGGGGGCCCTGCCAGAACCACTTGCTAGGATCCCCTGAGGCTTAACTGGGGGCTGGGCAGGCACACATTTCTCCAGAGGGAGGTCTGGTGGGATCATCACCACTGGACAAGGACCGTTTCAAGAAATCCCTGAGAACATATCTGCCCCCAATCCCTGCGGGCATTCAGCGGAGGGTCTTTGTAAAGACCCTGCTGGGAGGTCTAAATCTGGTCTCTGTGAGAGTGCAGTGGGAGTCCCCCAGTCTTCATCCCTGGCTGGAGAGTCTCCCTCACTGACTGTGGTGGCCCTGTCCTTGGAGGGCAGAGCTGCTGCTACTATTGGCTGGCACCAGCCCTCTGGCTGGGCCACTGCAGAGCTGACTCCCACCCAGGTGGTGCACTTTTGTTTTATATTCAGCTGCTTGCAGGCTGGACCAGGTAGGATCCAGCTGTCTCCGTTGCTACCCTGCACACCTGGCTGGGACCAGGGCTGGAGAGGGACAGGTAGGGCCTGAGCCTCAAAGGCTAGCTCCCACCTGCGTGCTGAGAACCAAGTTTCCATGGAGGCTTCGACTTCCTCTATGGGTCCTGGTTTCCGGGATCCTCCTGATAGGCTTTGGGGCCTGGGGCAGCTGTATCACCAAGGCTCACAGAGGCCAAGGTTACCCTCTGGGTCAGTGACACATGATTTGGGGGGTTGCTCCTGGACTTCCTTGGCGACTGGAGTTCCCATCACCCCCACCTCTGTTCATTAATTTCTCTTGGGGTCAGTTATTGCCCCTCCTCTGCCAGGTTTCCACCAGCCTTTCCTGTTGGGTCCCCAAGTGAAGCCTCAGCCCTCCTGGTGGACAGCTGCCTCCAGGGAGGGCAGCTCTTGGATCCTGTCCTCCTCCCAGAAGCCTTCCTGGCTTAGTGACAGCCCAGTCGATGGCAGCCACCCTCAGGACATGTCATCTGCCCTGACCCACAGGTCCTGAAACCCCCACTCTGCCTCATCCCAGGGTTGGGGTGCTGTGTGTTGCAGGGGGCCTCCAGCATTTTTCCAGTGACATTTCTATGGGGCTAGAGACTCCTGTTTGGTTTGTTTACATGTGTGTTCTCAGCACCTGGCATAGAGTGAATGCCAAACAGTTTTCTGGGGAGTGACAGCATTGCAGGTGACCGGTGGGCAGCCCAGGAATGCCTGTGGACACCCTGGGCTGACACAGCTGCTAGTCACTCTGATCAAGGCAGTCAGCGGAGCTCCTTCTGATGCAAGCTGCTGCTTCCAGGTGGACAGAGTGGGAATGGCAGGGTGTCCAAGGGAGTGTCTTCTAAGACCGGTTCCTGTCCCATACCTGTAGAGCCAATGTCACTCACAGCCCAGCCTCCACCGGGAGGGGACCTGATCAGGCAGGAGCAAGGATGGCAATGTGTAGATTCTTCTGGCTGCTGCGACATATTCCCACCAACTCAGTTCGTTAGAACAACTCATAGTGTCTCACAGTTCTGCAGGCAGAAGTCTTGGGATCTGCTTCACTGGACTGAAAGTCCAGGTGTCCACAGGGCCAGTTTCTTCTGGAGGCTCCAGGGAAGAATTTGTGTCCTTAGGTTCTTCAGCTTCTAAGCTTCATTCCTTGGCTTCCTCCATCTTCAAAGCAGCAGGATAGTATCTTCAGATGTCTCCCTCTCTAACCCTCCTGCCTTCCTCTTTCACTTATAAGGACTCTGTGGTGACACCCAGATAATTCAGGATAATCTCTCCAGCTCAAAGTCCTTAATTTAATCATATCTGCAAGTCCTTTAGGCACCCAGGCAAGGTATCAGATTCAGATTCCAGGGATTAGGATCTGGATATCTGCAGGAGCCATTACTGTTTATATAGTGTCTCAGCTCCCTCCTCATCCCATCTCTCCTGCCTGGGGTAGAGGGGTTGGGGCAGGAGACCTTCCAGGGATGGGTCCAGCCAAGGGAACCAGAAAGCTTCCTTGTTTGGTGGTACATAGAGGGAGAGATGTTGCTCTCTGCCTGAGGGTGTTCAAGGAAGGCTGCCTGGAGGAAAGATGTCAGAACTGTATCTTCAAGGACACTAAGATGAAATAGTAGCTGTCATTGACTTGGGGACCTGACACAATGAGGTGTTGGCTGAGGGTAGTGGACAGCGCTGGCCTCTCCCTCACTGTGCTAACCAGCTTCCTCCAGGGGGCTTCAAGGAGGCATGATTTCTTCACCCTCAACTGGGAGCCTGAGGCTTCAGTCTCTCCTCCTGTAAAATGAGGCTGATGACAGAGCCCAGGGACCACTGAGCATCCTGTCTGCTGATTACTACCTCGGTGCCTGCCCGCCCACTGCTCATGAACAAAGGGTCTGCCCGAAACCACCCCGGGGCCAGGATCACTGGGACTGCCCCTCACCCTTACCTTTCAGCCTCTGTGGTCACGTGGAGCTGCGCTCTCCCAGGCCTCCCTCTGCCCACTCCATCCCTGCTGTCCCAGGCTTGCTCCTCCTCCCAGGTCCTGTGAACACCCAGACAGCAAGCAGGTCACCCTCAGTGCCTGGCATTATGACGGAGAGGACTGTACTTGACAGGCTTTGGTTCCCTCTTCTGTAAAGCAGACAATAAACACTATTTGCAAAGAGAATTCGTTAATCCACAAGAATTTATTGAGCGCCTGGTGTGTACCAAGGGTGCACTGGGGGCACCTCAAGCACAAGAAGGGACCTCATATGTCAAGTGATGTCCAGAGGACTAAGCAGAGGAGCCATGATCTTGGCCACACGGCCTCCTCCGCCATGTTCGTGGGACCTCCAACTCAGCAAATCTTACCTGCGTCCTCCCCCAGCTCTCCTCCCATTGTTCCTCGAGGCAGCAGCAGTGCCCAGATTGACAGATGGGGAAACTGAGGCTGCGGGTGGGCAGGGCGTGGACTCGAATGGGGACCAGAGAGAGAGCTTTCTACAAAACACCTCCCCTCCATTCCACGCTCTTGTCCGACTCAGACACTTGGTTTTCCCTGCCCCCCCCCCACCGTCCCGCCCCCGCCAACACTTCCTGTCCCCGGCCCCGAGGCTGCAGTTCCCTCTGCTTTAGTTCTCCCCTCCTCGATAACAATGGTGGCCAAGCAGGCCTCGGGAGTACAAGGCGTGGGGGAACATCCGGCTGTCGTGTCTTCCCCGCTGGCTTCGCCGCGGGCCGGGGGAGCTTCCGGGATGCCATCAGTAGCGCAGCAACTTCATTCCTCCGCCCCGTGTGGTTCCCAAGTAACAGGAAGCTCCTCCTTGCAGGCGCAGCTCGCCGGGAAAGGAAACGCCCCTCTCTTGGGCCGTTGTCGGTTAGCGTCGTTAGGGACGCACTGTGAGGTTATTATGGGAAATGTAGTTCCAGGTGTCCTGCAGCAGCTGGGAACGCCCTCCCCTGTCGCCGCGGCAACGAGCAAGCGGCCGCGCGAGAAAAGCTGTGAAATGAAGTGAACGCGTGAAGCGGGGCTGACTGGATGGAGCCGCTGGCAGCACGAGTGGGGCGGGACTTCCGGTATTGCCCTGGCTATGCTCCGTTTGCAGTTGGCGGTGGGTCTGTCCGGTTCTTTAGCGAATACCGCGGTCCGGGACGACGTCCCTCGAGTGCGGTGGGCGAGAGCGGCGGGCGGCAGAAGAGAAAGGCGGCGACCCAGGCAGCGCCTCCGCACGCGCGGGCATCCCTGGGATGGCTCTGTCTACTTGAGGCTCGCGTGCCCCGTTTCCCCGGAGGCTGCCCCGCAGCCCTCAGAGCCTCGTACCCGGCGGAGACCGAGCTTCGAAATTTCCTCGGCGGCCGGAGGTGGCTGCGCTGCGCGCCGGGCGGCGGCGGAGTTCATCTGACACTGGGCGCGCGTGCTGGTCGCAGGTTCCGATGGCCGAGGAGACGCTGGTGAGTGGTAGGGATCCGCTTCCAAATGAGCCCAGGAGGGAGCAAGGCTGGTGGATGAGGGCGGGGGCTTGGAGATGCCTGCGAGGTTACGAGCGGCGAGGCTGCCTGGGGCGGGCTGGGGAGTTGTTGTTTTCCGTGGTGTCACTCGAGACACCACTTGCAGACCTGGCCTTTGGCGGACTCATTAGTTTCATGCAGCTGGGGCGGACTGCAGAGGTTATGCTGAGCTGTGTGCCTGCCTGGCAGCTGGATGAGCTCTGTGAGGTGATCCCTGGGGCTCGGGGATCTGGCGGGCAGGAGATAGGGAGCTCCTGTGCTCCCGGCTCTGTACGTAGTTGGCATCTGTCTGGTCCCCAGCCTGTTGCTGTGGGCTGGATGCATACATAATCCAGTAGTATATTAGGAGCGAGACACCATTGGAATTGAGGTACCTGGTAATTCTCTGAGGTGTAGGGATTTTAGGAAGAGGGAGGGATGAGAGTATGGATGGGGGATTGGGACTTAAAGGGAAAGATGTGGCAGGGCCCTAAGCCACAGGTCAAGGGCCTGGATGTGTTTCTCTGTCTACATTTTGGTTGGCTTTTCTGCCTACTGTTGACCCGAAGGCTCAGTTGAGTCCATCATGGCAGGGGGTGACCTTTGAGGACGTGGCCGTGTACTTCTCCCGGGAGGAGTGGAGTCTCCTTAATTGCACCCAGAGGAGCCTGTACCGTGATGTGATGCTGGAGAACTTTGCCCTCATTGTCTCACTAGGTAAGACTCTCATACTCTCCCAGCAATCTGGCCACCTCTGCTTTTTCCCCAAGGGGAACTTGTGTTCATCCTAAAGCCCCACCACGAAGACTGCTTTTTTCTCAGGTTCCCTGGGTTGGTGCCCATACAGGGACTGGGCTGTGCTCATCCTGCCTCTCCCTGAGCAGCCCTGTTAGCAGCCTCAGCCTCAAGGGCTCCTGGGGGATGGCTTGTGGTTCCGATGTTTACAATTTTCCCAACAAATCCGATGCAGCTCTCCCTTTTTCTATGACCCTGCTGAAGCTATGGCCCCTCTGCTCCCAGTTTTGCCACCTTCCTCCAAAGAAAATTGTATAGGGCCCTTCCTGGGCCAGGACTGAGCCATGAATTCAAAAGGAGAGAGAAAGAGAGGGATGTAAGAGAGAAACATCCATTGGTTGCCTCTCATATGCACCCTGACTGGGGACTGAACTGGTAACCCAGGCATGTGCCCTGATGGGGAATCACACCTGTAACTTTTCACTTTGTGGGACAATGCCGAGCCAACTGAGCCACACCTGTCAGAGCCTCCAGTACCTTATTTGATAAGTGTAGACGCCTTTATCTTATTTCCAATCTTATGGGAAAAGCAATCTTTTACTAATGAGTATGATATTGACTATAGGTTTTTGCAGGTGAGGTTTCCTTCTCTTCCTAGTTTGTTGAGGGCATTTGGCATGAAAAGCCCTTAGACTGTGTCAGATCCTTTCCCATGTATATGGAAATTATAGTGTGATTTTTGTCCTCTATTCTGTTAACATGGTGCATTTCCGGATTTGGTTTTAATATGTTCCACTTTGCATTACTGGAATAAATCCCACTCTGTTGTGGTTTATAATCCCTTTTGTTAATTCCTGGATTTGGTTTGCTAGTATTTTTGTAACTATATTCATAAGAGTTATCAATGTGCCCTGGTTGGCAAGCTCAGTTGTTATAGTGTCATCTGGATACACCAAGGTTGCAGGTTCAATCGCCAGTCAGAACACATAAGAAGTAGCCAATGAATGCATGGACAAGTGGAACAACAAATCAGTGTCTCTCTGTCTCTCAGCCCCGCTCTCCCTACCCCTGCCCTTCCTCTCCCTCCTCCCTCTAAAAACTCAATAAATAATAAAAAAAAATTTAATGAATCATCAGTGGTGTAGTTTTCTTTTCTTGTAATGTCTCTGAATTGAATGTGAGGGTAATTTTGGCTTCAGTGGATGGAAAATGTTCCATCCTCTCCTGTTTTTTGGAAGAGTTTGTATTTTTGTAATTTGTTAGTAATGTTTCCTTTTTCATTCCTCTTTTCAATAAATTGAATATTCTGTTTTTTCTTGTCAGTTTAACATTTGTCAATTGTGTTGATCTTTTCAAAAAAACATACTTTGGTATCCTTGATTGTGTTTATCCAGTCTCTTTCATTTATTCCTACTCTTTATTATTTCATTCATTCTGCTAACTTTGGGTTTAGTTGCTCTTCTGTTTTCTGTTCCTTGAGGTGTAAAGTTAGGATATTGGTTTGAAATTTCTTTCTTTTTTTTTTTTTTAGATTTTATTTATTTATTTTTAGGGAGGGAAGGGAGGGAGAGAGAGAGGGAGAGAGAGAAACATCAATGTGCGGTTGCTGGGGGTTATGGCCTGCAACCCAGGCTGGGAATCGAACCTGGGACACTTTGGTTCCCAGACCGCACTCAATCCACTGAGCTACGCCAGCCAGGGCTGAGATTTCTTTTTTGAATTTTTTAATAAGAGTTTATTTGAGCAAAAACTGATGACCCATGCCAGGGAGCAAGATCTCAAATGCCAGGGAGAAAAAGTGTTGCAGTGTCTTTTGCACATTTGAAATTAAGGAGGAAGATTACATAAAGGTGAAAGAAAGTGAGGCAGGGACTGTATTCCAATGTAGTTCAGATCATGTGCTCTGGTGAGGGGTTTGAAAAGAGGCATTTCAAAGGTGTGTTAACCCGGATGCACAGTAACAAAGGACCGCACTAAAGAAGTTACAGGCCTAGGGTTTGACTACCCACCTTGACCTGCCCCCATTAGGGTTTTATGACCAGAGGTTTGAGATATTTTTTAAATATTCCTGTTGTAGCTCTGGCTGGTGTGGCTCAGTGGATTGAATGCTGGACTGTGAAACAGGATCACCACCAGTTCGATTCCCAGTCAGGGTGCATGTCTGGGTTGCAGGCCAGGTCCCCAATATGAGGTGTGCAGGAGGCAACCACACATTGATGTTTCTCTCCCTCTTTCTCTCCCCCTTTTCCTCTCTCTAAAAATAAATAAATAAAATCTTTTTTTTTTAAATAAATATGCTTGTTGTGAGAGAAATACATTTGTATTTTGATTTTGTTTCCAGCCCCTGGCACACAGCTCCTAAAACCTTTGGAATCTCTGCAGTGATGAGGATGTTTTTATGTATGCTCATTGTGACTGGTAGCTGGGGAACCCTAGATAGGTTCAGGATGAGGCATGGTCACCAGAAAGACTAAGGCATGATTGGAAGGTTGAAATTTTCAGCCACTCCCTACCCCCTCCATCCTCCCAGCCCCCAGCCCCCCATAGACAGCATAGGGCCTGGAGTATATCACCAACAGTCAGTGGTTTGATCGATCATCCCTACATAGTGAAACCTCCATTCAAACTTCTAAACAGTGGTGCTTGGAGAGCTTCTGGGTTGGTGAACACATGGAGTTGTTGGACTAGTGGCACTCCCCTGGGGAGGAGGTGTGGACACTCCTCAACTCCCATCCCCATCCCCACCCTGGGCACACCTTGCCCTGTGCATCTCTTCCTTTTGGCTGCTTCTGAGCTGTGTCCTTTATAATAAACTGGTGATCTAAGGAAACTCTTCTCTTGAGTTCTGTGAACCTGAGTTCTAGCAAATTAATGAACCTGAGGAGGGATCAGTTGTGGGAATCCCCGACTTACAGCCAGTTGGCCAGAAGTATGGGAGTCCTGAGACTTTCCATTGATGTCCGAAGCCCTGAACAGTCTTGCGGCGTCTGACACTGATTCTGGGTAGTTGGGGTCGGAATTGATGAAATCCTTGGACACCAGTTGGTGTCAGAGCTGGAGAAGTGGTCTGGGAAACTCTCCACACACTTGGTGGCACAAGTGTTGTGAATAAAACAGCACGGAGGTGTTTGTGGCTATAATTTTCCCTTTAAGCACTGCTTTTCCCCCATAACGTTTATATGTTGTGTTTTCATTTTCATTCATCTAAAAGTGCTTTGTGCCTGGCTGGTGTGGCTCAGTGGATTAAGTGCCAGCCTGCCAACCAAAGGGTTGCCAGTTTGATTCCTGGTCAGGGCACATGTGTGGGTTGCGGGCGGGGTCCCTGGTTGGGGGTGTGGGAGAGGCAACTGATCGATATTTCTCTTACACATCATGTTTTTCTCCCTCTTTTTCTCCTTCCCTTCCCCTCTCTCTAAAATTAACTAAATAAAATCTATTAAAAAACCTTAAAAGTGCTTTTAAATTTTTTTGTGGTTATTTAGGAGAGTTTTCGTTAAAGTCTACAAATTTGTGAGTTTCCCAACTTCTTTTCTGCCATTAAGTTCTGTTTAATTTCATTGCAGTCAGAGAATATACCTTATTTTTAAATTTTTTAAAGGGATTTATTTATTTATTTATTTATTTGTTTGTTTGTTTTAGAGAGAGTAGGGAGGGAGAAAGAAAGGAAGGGAAAGAAACATCAATATGTGAGAGATACATCAATCAGTTGCCTCTCGTGTGCCCTCAGCTGACGACATGGCCTGCAACCCAGGCATGTGCCCTGACCAGGAACTGAACTGGTGACCTTTTGATCCACAGGCTTGCGCTCAATCCCTTGAGCCACACCAGCCAGGGCAGAGAACATACTTTCTATGATTTCAGCCCTCTGAAATCCGTTGAGGCTTGTTTTATGTCCTACCAAATGGTTTGCTGTGAGGAATGTTCCAGATTGAGAACATTGTGGAGAATGTGAGAATATGTATCTGCTGTCCTTAGGTGGCATGTCCTGTATGTGTCTATTAGTTCTAGGTGACTTTTAGTGTTATTCAAGTGCTACATCCTTGTCCATTTTCTGCCTCATAGTTCTATCCCTTTATTGAAAGTTAGAACTTGAAATCTCCAATCATTATTGGTTATATATTTCTTACTTCAGTTACGCTAGTTATGCTCCATAAGAGATTCTTTTTTAAAAAATGTGGTAAAACATATAACATGAGATCTATCCTCTCAATGAATTTTTAAATGTACAGGGGAGGTTCCTTTTCTAATACTCAAGTTTCCTTCTGGTTGCCTTGGTGACATAAGATTCCTATGGTGTGTGGCCGGCTGGCCTCTTAAACTTTCTCCCTCATAGGATTTGTACCTTCAAGATCCCATGCGGTGGCCCAAGTGGAGGGTAAAGAAGAGCTCCAGATGGCCAACATGGTGGACATGACTCTGGTTCGCAGAGCAGAAGCCAGGAAGGGTCCTGGTCTTGGTGAGTGGCCTGGGGGAGCCTTGGTCTCGGTGGCGGGCTGACAGCAGCTGGATCCCGTGTCTGTGTGCACTGGTGTTTTGGTTCTGAGGCTGGTGACCGCACCTTATTCCTACCCTGCCTTTCCCTCTGGACACACGGTGTGGTCTTGCCGTGTCCACCATGACTCAGGCCCTGATGGCCCACTTTAGTGGCCTCTGTGTTTTGTCATTTCCCCTTCTCTGTGCTACAGTCATTTTTTCCTTCTTCACCGTGCTTACTGTCACCAGTAGCTCAGGCCCTGCTTAAAGCCCATTGCAAAGACATGACTTGGTTCAGAGGCCCAGCTCTCCTCCCCACACTCTACTGTGTTTGTGTCCTCACCCCTGTTGAGGTCTCCCCTGTTCTGTGATCTGGCAGAACCCTGTTGTGCAGGGCCAGCCCTTTCTCAGCAGACATTTCCCTGTTACTCCCTGGGGATTCCGTGGACCCTCACTGGGTGTGTCTGGCGTGCACAGGCGATAAAGGTGCCTCCTGTTGCTAATCCAGCTCTCTGCAACTGATGTGTCTCCGTTTTAGGTTGTCCCTGTAGACTGGATGATGGGGAGGCCCCTCCTCAACAGGTAAGGAGCTGCAGAGTCCACCTGTCAGAGAAGCACCTTCTGGGTGGAGAGACTATGAAAGACATCCCTGCCACCTTAGGCCACCTCCGGCTCCAGGCCACCCACAGCGAGGGGGAGCCATGCAGGAGCCTGGGGCACAGGGAGCCCTTCCTGCCCAGCCCCAGTCGCAACCAGCAGCAGCAAGGAGACCACACCACACAGAAGTCCTTCAAGTGCAGCGGCTGCAGGAAGGCCTTCCCGAAGGCCTTCACACTCCTTGACCACCTGGTAACCCACTGTGAAGAAAGACCTTACAGGTGGCCAAAAGGTGGAAGTGTCCCCAAGGAGAACTCAACCCTTCATCACCAAAAAATCCACACTGGAGAGTCATCCAACGTGTGTAATGAGTGTGGAAAGGCCTTCAGTTACCCATCTAAACTAAGGAAGCACCAGAAGGTTCACACAGGCATAAAACCTTTCAAGTGTGGTGAGTGCGGGAAAACTTTCAACCGCAAAGACGCCCTTGTTCTGCACCAGAGAATTCACACTGGAGAACGGCCCTACGCCTGCAGCGAATGTGGCAAAGCCTTCAGTGTCCTGTCCACCCTCATCCGGCACCGGAAAGTTCACATTGGAGGCAGGCCGTATGAATGCCGGGAATGTGGGAAGTTCTTTAAATACAACCAGAGCTTCATTCTCCACCAGAGAGTTCACACTGGAGAAAAGCCTTATGAGTGCAAGCAGTGCGGGAAGGCGTATGTGACCCGCTCGGGCCTGTACCAGCACTGGAAGGTCCACACTGGAGAACGGCCCTACGAGTGTGGCCTGTGTGGGAAGACCTTCACCACCAGGTCCTACCGCAACCGGCACCAGCAGTTCCACACGGAGCAGAGGTCCTATGAGTGTGCGGAGTGTGGGAAAGCGTTTAAACACAGTTCTACCCTCCTTCAGCACAAGAAAGGCCACATTGGAGAAAGGCCATAGGGGGACAGGATATGGGAAGGCCTTTCACCATAGCTGGCACCTCGCTCAATAGGGAGGGCATCTCTGCAGAAAGGAGCTTGAGGAGAGGAGCCATTTGAAAGCTAAACTGGGTACCCCATCACTCATGCTATGCTGTGGGGGTGTCAGGTATGAGGGAAGGTTGGGAGCTGTGTTGCACTCTGACCTGCACAGGCTGTGACAGAAGCCATCACACCTCTGCCACCTGGCACCTCCCCCTAATGCATTGTCACCCTGATGTGCTCAGAGACAGCAGACCATGCACCCTGCTGTGTATGGAAGAGTCATGAATGGTGGGGCCCATGTTGGGCCTTCTTTCCCCGAATAGTTTAGGTGTGGATACGACCTACCTGTGGCCAACAACTTAGCTAAGCAGTGTCTACAAAGGACATCTGGGGAAGGTGAACCGATTTCTGCGGTACCTGTTGTGGGTTTACCCAACCCTGGGACTGTCTCACACTGCTCTGGAAGGCATAGCAATAAAGGCCTTGTTGCTTAAGTGACCTTTAATGTAGGGTATTCTGATCTCTGTGTGAGGGGATGTTGAACAAAATTGGGCTCATGAATAGAGGGAATGGCTTCTATAGGCACCCCTGACTCTTGTCTGCCTGGGAGGGGACAGCAGGATGGCAGAGAACAGTTCTAGCTGAGGACGGTGTCACTTGCATTGGTGCCTGAGACCTGCAGGGAGAGACTGAAAGGCTTGGTGGGTGAATCATGTAGTCTGGGTGTCAGGTTTATTGGTGGGTCAAGATCAGAGAGTTGGGAGCTTGCTGGTGTGGTTCAGTGGATTGAGAGCTGGCCTGTGAACTGAAAAGTTGCCAGTTCGATTTCCAGTCAGGGACATGCCTGAGTTGTGGGCCACATCCCCAGTTGGAGGGGTGAGGCAACTGATGATGTATCTCTTGCACATTGTTCCTCCCCCTCTTTCTCCCTCCATTCCTGTCTCTCTAAAAAAAATTCTTTGAAAAGTTGGCATTAGATGCCCCATGTGTCTGAGGACATGAGCCAGGGCTCTTGTTCTCAGGGAATGTTCCTGAATCTCCAGCACTGTTCAGAGGAAGCTGTTTCCAGAGTCAGCTCAGCAGCTGTGTCCTCTGAAATCTAGAATGTGGAGTAAGTTGTAGACTAACCATAAGACCTGCAGGGGCCTATTAGAAGACAAGTGGGCACAGAAACCCTGCAGTAATGCGTGGGGAGCCTGGTACACTAGCAAGTCTGAGCCAGGTTCTAGAGAGGCCTCCACAAATGCTCCGGCAGCTGCGATTTCAGGGGCTGAGGGTCACAGAAATTCTTGGGATTACAGACCTGTCATCTGTGGCCAAGGTCACTCTCAACCAGTTATCTACCCGTCTTCTGGATTCTCTAACCTCTGTGCATGTTCACCTCAAGGCCATCTCTCAGTGTCCTGGGATGTGGCTCTAGGGACCCAGCCACTGTTCCTGGTATCTGCCCACCATGGCCTGCAATGTTTTTGCTGCCACTGTCCCTGGGCTCAAGGGAGAAGTGGTTGATCCTGTGGTTTGTGGGACCTTTTGATTTAAAAAATGTTGGAAACTTTTCCCACAAGGTAAATGAAATGTCAGTTAAGCAAAATTTGTATGTTGCCTGTAGCTGTGTCCCTGGCCCTGAAACTGCTTCCTGTCAAGAACGTTAGCAGGAGCTCTTTCTCTTCCGGTCCCAGGTGCTTCAAGAGCCGTGGGTGTGGGTACAGAGATGGCTAAGTCCAAGAACCACACCATGTACATCCAGTCCCAAAAATGGCACAGAAATGGCATCAAGAAACTCTGATTACAAAGATATGAATTTCTCAAGGGGATAGACTCCAAGTTCCTGAGGAACATGTGCTTTGCCAAAAAGCACAAGGGCCCGAAGAAGATGCAGGCCAACAACACCGAGGCCATGAGCACACATGCTGAGGCTATCAAGGCTCTGGTCAAGTCCAAAGTCAAGGCAAAGATCCCAAGGGGCAGCAGCCACAAGCTCAGTCAACTTGCTTACATTGCTCATCCCAAGCTCAGAAAGCATGCTTGTGCCCACACACCAAAGGTCTCTGGCTCTGCTGATCAAAGGCCAAGGCCCAAACCATGCCCCAGGCTGCAGATGCAGCCATGGGTCAGGGTCCAGCTCAGGCTCAGTCTCAGGGTCCCAAAGGTGCCCAGGCCCCTGTAAAGGCTCCATAGTAGAGGCCTCTGTCTGCCGACGTGAGGACAGAAGGACTGGTGCACCCTTGAGGCTGGGGTCCTCCTGTGGTGTTTGTGCAAATAAACCTGAGGCAGGGTTTGTCTGTCAAAACAAAAACATTAGCAGCAGGGTTTGTCAAAAAAAGAAAAGAAAAAACATTAGAAGGAATTGTGTTTGGAGAGAGCCGGGGACCCAACATGAGGGGCTGTGGGCTGCAGTGCTCATCCTACCATGTACTGGGGCTGGGAACCACCGCTGCTGCCTCTAGCTGTGCTGATTCTTCCCGCCCATCCTGATGGCTGAAGGGGTGATGACCATACCGCGGACAACTTCAGTAGGGCTTGCAGTAGAGAGTTTTTGGTCAGCCTGCTCAAATTCTCCCCAGCACCATAAAACGTATGCCCATCTTTCATCCGCTCAGGCCCTCTTTCCTGAGTGTAAGAACTGTCTGTCTCCCACACCCACACGAGGGTTTGTGTGAGAGCAAAGTCAAGCCAAGCCAGGCAGGGTTCAGGTCTCTAAACAAGTGGGGGTGGGTAGCTTTGGCTAGATCTCATAGGATGGCCCCGCACCTGGGTGAGGGGTCCTTGGCACTTGCCCTAAATCTGCTTTCTGGTCTCTTGCTGGGGCTCCATACATAGCAGCCAACCTAATGGGGGTGTGGGTGGAAAGTAGTTTCCCTGTTGATGCTGGGGTATCTGGAACAAAGCCCAGTGGCTCTGACCCTTTGACATGCTCAGGGTACCAGTTTGGGCAGGAGTCAGTCATTCCATCATGTTGGCTCAAGCTCACCTGGCAAGCCAGCTCCAGCAGTCCATGGAAGCTCTTCCAGGATCTACCCAGCAGCTCCTGGTCCTTTGTTTTGTGACCCCAACTTGTCAGAGATGCCTGCTCCACCCTAGTCCTGCCTCTCCCACTAAAACCCCTTCAACAACTTGGCCAAAATGTCCCCTCTTCATGAGTTCTTTCACTCACTGTCCAGTTTGGAGTTTTCTCCCTTTCTATCTTCTATACCATGATGTTAGGCTGGACACTAACCCTCCTGCACCTGCTTGTCTTCATAGATGTCTGCATATTTGAAATCAGGGCTACATTTGTGTTGTTAGAGACTTAGGAACAGTCCTGGCTGGGTATCTTGGTTGGACCATTGTCCTGATGAGCCAAGGTTGCGGGTTCGATTCCTGGGCAGAGCACATGTATGAGTCAACCAATGAATGCATAAGTAAGTGGAACCATGCTGTTCTCCTCCTCCCTCTTTAAAGTCAATAAATAAAAATTAAAAGACTTGGCAATATACCAACAAGAGCTCAAGGGTTCACTGATATTGGAATCGAGCAATAATGTGTTTCTTGCCTTCCTCCTTGCTTGTGGATGGTCATTATTTTGTCATCTTCACAAGATGAGGAGAAGCAGCTCTGGTATCTTTTGCCTTTTTTTAAAAAAAAGATGTTATTTTTTTATTTAGAGGGGAAAGGAGAAGGGGGAAGAGACATTGAATATGAGAAAGAAGCACCAATCAGTTACCTCTTGCACGCCCCAACTGGGGAGCAGGCCTGCAACCCTGGCACATGCCCTGACTGGGAATCAAACCAGTGACCTTTCAATTTGCAAGGTGATGCTCCACCCACTTAGCCACACCAGTTAGGGCTCTCTTGACTTCTTACAAGGACACTAATCCCATCATAGAGTCCCATCCTTATGATCTCATCTGAACCTAATTAGCTCCCAAGGGCCCCATCTCCTGATACTATCACAGAGAGGGTTAGGGCTTAAACCAATGAATTCTTGGGTGTGTGTGTACAAACCTTCAGTCCATAACATCACCTAAGGAACCAAAGCAATTTGTTGTGACTCTCATAGATGAAGACAGTCCTCATGGTGACTGGACACAATGTCAGTTTCATAAAATAAAACAAATTGGTGGCAGTTGTGACTATTAACACCAGAATCAACGTGAACTGCTGTGAATATTTTCAGTTGAATACCATCCACCCATGGGGAACGTGCATCTTCCCCAAGAAGCCCAAACTGGACATCCCACAAGACCCCTCAACCAGCATGGGGTCAGTTCATTCCAGAGCACTCTCAAGAGGCAATGAGAATGAAACCATCCAATGGGCCCAAAACAATCCTGATCTGCTCCAGGATAGGGGAGAAGGCACAGGAAGCTGTTTTCTCCATGCATATGCAGGTGACTGCTGCAAATGTCTGGATCCAGGCAGGCTGGACAGGGGCTCCAGGGCACATAGCTCTGCCTGGGTCCCTAGGCTGCTTGGAAAAGAGAGCAGTTTCAGAAGGCTTCTCCACATCGGTGGTACATGCAGGTAATTTCTCTGCAGGAGTTCTACTGGATGAAGTCTGACCTGAATGAAGACTCTCTCACAAAGTCTGTGTCTATAAGACTCCACTCAAGTATGAATCTTTTTATGCTGAGCAAGGCTACAGAGGCAGCTAAAGATTTTCCCACAGTGGCCACACTCATAAGTCCTTTCTCTGGTATGAACTACCTGGTGTTAAACAAGTGTGAACCTTTCACTAAAAGCTTTCCCACATTGGTTGCACTCATATGGCCTTTCTTGTGTGTGAACTCTGGTGACGAACCGGCTGAGAGTTGTTGCTAGAGTCTCTCCCTCACTCACTGCACTCATAACGCCTTTCTCCAGTGTGAACTCTCCAGTGATAAATAAGGCTGGACTTTCAGCTAAAGAATTTCCCACATTCATTGCACTCATAAGGCCTTTCTCCAGTGTAAACTTTCTGATGTTTAATGAGAATAGAGTGTTGACTAAAGAATTTCCCACATTCATTGCACTCATACAGCCTTTCCCTTGTATGAACCCTCCAGTGCTCAATGAGACTAGAACTGTGAACAAACGCCTTCCCACATTCGCTGCAGTCATAAGGCCTTTCTCCAGTGTGAATCCTCCAGTGCTGCATCAGGCTGGAGCTGCAGCTGAGGGCTTTCCAGCATCTGCTGCATTCGTAAGGCCTTTGCCCAGTGTGTACTTTCCGGTGCTGAATGAGGGTGGTGCTATTACTGAAGGCTTTCCCACATTCACTGCATTCAAAAGGCCATTCTCATTCTCCAGTGTGTACTTTCTGATGTCGAAGGAGGTGAGCCCTTTGGCTAAAGTCTCTTCCACATTCACTACATTCAAAAGGTCGTTCTCCAGTGTGAACTTTCTGGTGCTGAGCAAGATTGGAATTATTGTTAAAAGCTCTTCCACACTCACTGCACTTGAAAGGCCTTTCTCCAGTGTGAACCCTCCGGTGCTGAATGAGAGCAGAGCTCCGGCTGAAGGCTTTACCACATTGATTGCACTTATGTGGTCTTACCTGGGTGTGAACTTCCTGATGCCGAAGGAAATTGGACCTTTGGCTGAATGCTCTTCCACATTTGCTGCACTCAAAAGGCCTTTCTCCAGTGTGAACATTCTCATGCTGACTGAGGTGTGACCTGTTATTAAAGGTTTTCCCACATGCACTACACTCATAAGGCCTTTCTCCTGTGTGAATTTTCTGGTGATGAAGGAGTGCAAGTTTGTGGCTGAAGGTTTTCCCACAGTCACTACACTCATAGTATTTTATTCCAGTGGGAAATTTCTGGTGCTGCCTCAGCTTACAAGGGTACCTAAGGTCCTTCCCACACTCTTTACATATATGAAATGTTTCTCCAGTGTGAAATTTTTGGTAATTAACAAGGTTTGATTTCTCCTCTAAGGAATTTCTAACTGTTGGGCATTTAAATGCTGTCTCTTCAGAGTGAGTGTTCAGGTGGTTAAGGGGGGCCGAGTTCTTCTGGAAGGCTTTGCCATAGTCACTGCAGTCGAGGAACTTCCGTGTGATATGGACTTCTGGGAGCTGCCCAAGGTTGGAACTGTGTGGGAAGAACTCTCTGCACTTGGTGCTCCTATGTGACTTCCCACTGCTGTCAATGGCTGGGTACTGATGGAGGTCATGGCTGTCTAAGACATCCTTACCACCTTCCCTGCAAGTGAAGGGCTTCTCTGGCAGGTAGACCATGGAGCTCTTCACAAATGAGTCCCTGTCTTTGCCCCACCTGAAGGGCTTCTCTCCACTGTGCTCCTTCTGGTACTGGGGAAGATTTTCATTGAACCAAAACTCTCTTTCACGTGCTCCACATGTGCAGGGGGTCTCCTCAGCATGTGTTCCTTGATACTTATCTAGATGCAAAATGTCTCTTATGAATGGGCCACACATGTCACAGGTATCAGTCTTTAGGGTGGAAGGATAGGGGATCCTGAGCTGGGACAACCCTTCTACAGGAGCATTCTGCTTGGAACAAGCCTCGCTTTGCACTTCATGCCAACGACCTGAAAGCAGAGAAATTTCTAGTTAACTTAGTGTTTCACTTGGTGGAAAGGGTGACTGCATTAGAGATGTGTAAATCACACATACAGGAAGCAGCCCCAGGGATTGTTGACAGGCCAAGGGGGCCAGAATAAGAGTGAGGGGCTGACTGTGCAGGATGACACCCAGCCATGCCACAGAATACAGCAGGCCTCACTAGAGACAAGGACAGAGATGGGGCAAAGGGCATGAATAAACATCCCTCAAAGTGAGATGTGTGTACACACACGTATGGCCAATAAGCACATGAAAAGATGTTCAACATCATCAGTCATTAGAGAAATGCAAATCCAAACCATAATGAGCGACCACTTCACACCCACTAGAATGGTTATAACAGTGGGGCAGTTCCATTCCTACATATACACCCAAGGGAAATGAAAACATATCTATACAAAAACTTGTATGTGAATGTTCACAGCAGTATTTTTTCATAATAGCCAAAAAGTGGAAATAAGCCAAAAGTCCATTAACTGCATACATGAACTCTATACAGTGGAATACTTTTCAGTCATTAAATAGGAATGAGTGTTGTATATTCTACAACACGGGTGAACCTCTGAAACATGAGCTAAGTGAAAGGCAGTCACAGAGAAGCATAAATTCTGTGGCTCTATTTATATGAAATGTCCAGAATAAGCATATCTGTATAGTCAGAATGTAGGTTATAGTCAGAATATAGTCAGAGGTTGCCCCTCACTCAGGAGAAAGGGATGAGGGAGGACAGGGTACAAACTTTCCCTTAGGTGATGAAAATGTTTTAAAATCAGATTGTGATATTTATACAGCTATGTAGACATATAGTTTTAAAGGGTGAATTTTATGATGTATCTCAACGAAGCTGTTGTTTCTTTTTTTAACCCTCACCTGAGGACATGCTTGTTGATATTTTAGAGAGAGAGGAAGAAAGAGAGAGAGAGAGAGAGAGGGAGAGAAACATCAATGTGAGAGAGATACTGATCACTTGTTTCTGGCATGCTCCCCTACTGGAGACCAAACCCGCAACCCAGGCATGTGCCCTGAACCGGAACTGAACCAATGACCTTTCAGTTTATGGGACAGACGCTCCAACCAACTGAGCTACATTGGCCAGGGCTAAAAGTGTTTTCAAAAAACATCCCATGGGGGAAGGGGCAGAACCTGGGCCTGACCCCACAATGGGTCAAGCTCAGTGGGATCCATTAGGCAGAGCAGAGATGCCTGATCCCCACTCTCTGTTCCTACAAGACATCTGGGCAACAGTTACTGGGATCACTCATGAGACCATCCAGGGAAAGACAGGGGAATGCACACAGCCCAGTCCCAGCTCCTACAACACAAAACCTGGGAAGGAAGCCTCATCTATGGTTGGGCTTTGGGATAAACAGAACTTTCTATGAGGAAGAAGCATAGGGCAGAAGCTGGCCACCATGGTGCAGCAGGGCATAAGGATCTTACCAAGCGAGGTCATGAGCTCAAAGTTCTCCAGCATCACATCATGATACAGGTGCTTCTGAGCCTCATCAAGGAGCCCCCACTCCTCCTTGGAGAAGTACACAGCCACATCCTCAAAGGTCATTGGGCTCTGCAGCGATGAGACCGGGGGCCAAAAAGTGAGCTGAAAAACAAAGAAACAAAATAGTCAAATGCACACATCCAAGCCCTTGACCTGTGACTCAGAGTTCTGCAATATCTACCACTGACATCTCCTCTTCTTGTAGCCCTCTCCGTCCATCCTCTTCAGGCCCCACTTCAGAGGAGAGAGCAGGCCCTGGAACCATTGGTATCCCTCTCTCCCTGCACTCCCCAGTCACTGTATTCAGGCCAATACGACCTAGAGGAACAAAAAGCAGGTGGGCAGATGGATGCTGTGTGAGCTCTGGGCTGTCATGCTGCTCCCATCCCCCAACCGGCCACTTTCCCGTATATGCCCCACATGTGAGAAAACTAGTGCTCTCCTTCCTTCCTCAAGCCTCTAGCACCAGGGCCCATTGATTCACATTCCCTTACCTTGTACAGGGACCATATTATCAGCATTTCTCCACCCCTCTACCCCAGGTCCACAGAGTAGGCAACTCCCTAGAGTTCCCCTCTCCACGGTGTACATGGCACACTCAAGAAAGACAACCAGCATCCAATAATGATTTGGCCTGCCCCAGGTCTCTAAAACCCCCCACTGCAAGAGACGGCCATCACCCTTCTAATAAACGCCTCCCCTTCTGATGCAGACACTGGCCCGCAGCGTCCACATCATTATGAATGAAATGAGACATTCACACGGACTACCAAGTCTGGTGGAGGAAAAGGGACAGCATGGCTTTCCTCTCAAGAGGAGCAAAAGCCTTGGCCCTTGCCATGACCAGCCTTTATTGGGTTTCTCGGCACATTACTTGATGGTCCTCATATACTATTCACAGGTTCACTTGAGGTGGTTACCTTTTACAGAAAACAAAGGAGCCAATGCTGCTAATCACATCACAGAAGAGGGATATTTGCAAATGAAAAGGCAGAAGTGGTTGAACCGGGTTATACTCATCCTTGGAAGGTTTAGCATGGATTTTAGGAAGTTACTTTGCAGTAAATGTTCTCAATTCATGGTGAGGGAGTGTTTTAGCAACAGCAAGACTCAAAGCAGCCTAGGTACATTGCAGGCCTGATTCCCCACTGGAGAACCTATCTGTGGGCGTGGGTCCTGTGCATCTCTGAGTGGGAGCTGGGCCCACGCCATGCAGAATGATCTCTTACACTCTTCTGGTCCAGCCACCAAAAAGAACCTGAACCATTGCAGTCACCTCCTTGATGGTCTTCCTGCCTCCAACCTCACCACGCTGCTCTCCACCCAGCATCCAGAGGGAGTCAGTCAAGACCTGATCACATCACCTCCCTCCTCTGTCCTTGACTCCCACCACCTCTGATTAGAGGCTGCGCCTGTCAGCCTGCCATTCCAGGCCCGACTCTGGTCCCCCTGGCCCCCTATTTCCAGCAGATGAAATAGACACCTGCTGTTCCCGCAACACTTCCACCTCACTTTCATGCAATTTGCACATGCTGATCCCTGTGCCTGGACACTCTTCCAGGCCTTATCCCATAAGATTCCAAAAATCTTACCGTGTAAGCTTTGGCCTGGATTCAGGATGCTGGGGAAAGTGACAATCAGGGCCCCAGACTCGTGTAGGCGAAGGTACTAGGCACCACCTTCCTCAACCCCTGATTTTGAGGGCAGGATCCTCCACTCACCTTTGGCGAGTCCATGCGCGACGCTGCCAGCTGGGTAGGAACCTGCAGGCTCATCCGAATCCCAACCTCCACTGGTCGGAGGACCACGGACCGACAGTCGCACTCGGTATAAGGGCCTCGTCTCTACTGTATAAATGGACCCGAGGAGCCTGGAGCTTCCTCCAGGGGCTGTGCGACGAAGGCGGGTTGCAGAGATTTCGTGGGATCGGTTCCACATCCGGTAAAATCGGGGGTCAGCAAGAAGCAACCATTAGTGTGAGTGAAAGTGCCTGCAAACTTGTGGCAAGTCTTGGCACTTCCCTGCCCCCTTCTCCTCAGGTGCAGTGGACGCCAGCGTCAGGCGCCACCGACGAAACAAATACGCAATGGCGACGACCGAAGTCCCCCTCCATACTCCGCGCCCCTCTCGAAAGCACCCCACTCCAGAGACCGATTGGCTCCAGGCTCGCCTCCTCCAACTACTGTTTCCCTGAGCCAATCGGAGTGCCGCCTGTTCGTTGCCTAGGTGATCAGGAAGGACGCACCACTCGACACTGCTCACCAGACGCGAACTACCTTACCCAAACAGCCCCTCGCCGTGCGTCCTCACCAGTGCTGGCCAATGACAGCTTAAAAGAGGGCATTTCTGGGCGTACTCTGGCCAATGATCGCCTAGGGACAGGGCAGGATTTCGCGTGTCGGACTGCTGCTTTTGGCGTTTGTCAGGTCATCACAGGGAGGAGGGAGCGAGTTGCCGGGCTGTGGACCTTTCATAAGAGGTTTCTGGCGCCCAAGGAAACCGAATGGGGAATGCGGGAGAGTCTGGAGGTCCCGCGTCTGTACCCTGTACGCCCTGCGACTGCAGCGAACTACAACCTCCACCAGCCAGGGTGTCCTCGGCCGTAAGGGGGCGGGCCCTCGGCTCGGTGTCCGCTTTGGGGAGCCTGAGACCCAAGCGACCCGTTCCCGTTGTCAGAACCCAGCCTGTGACCGGACTGCGGGCGTGACGCGTGAGCCGAGCAGGTAGCCGGCGGTGAGGAAGGGTCTCCTGGCCCCACTAGGCTGGACTCCAAGCCCCGGTGCCCCAAGCTCCCCTCTGATCCTCAGGCCTCGGCGTTTAGGATAGCGGGGGTCTTCTTTCAGAACCCTGGATGGTGGGATGTGTAGATAAATCTGCACGTGCACGGACTCAACGGGGAGACCCACCTGAGAGCGCTTGGAAAAGGCCTGTCCCCACTGCAGGGAACCGAGGGTGTGAGTTGGAGTTCCACCTCGTCGGACGGCTGAGAGCAGGGAGCCTCAGGATGCTGCTACTGCAATATTCCTCAAGAGGGTTATGAGGGGGCCAGTCGGCAACAGAAACAGAGCGTGGGGGAAGTGGTCAGATTCCGGGTAGATTCCTGCCAGCATCGGGCTGAGTGAAAGACCATCCCAAGTGTTTAGGAAGAATGAGTTGCTGCCCTTGGAGATCGGAGGTTGGCAGGAGGAGGCCGTTTTGGAGATTAGCAGTTGGACTTTGTTGGTGTCGAGTCCCAATTGTCTGGAGAACTGCGGGTCGAGGTGACAGACACATGCCCATGTGAACACACAAGGAGTCCCCGTTTGGCCTCTGGGTGTCCAGGCTGCAGTGCAGTGGTGGCGGGGACCAGGGAAGGGCCTGAGAATGGGGTTTTGGAAGGCTGTGGTTACAGATGGGCCCTGGGGCGTCCAGTCTAAGGACCGCTGGCTGGAGGATGTAGGAGCAGAAAAGAGAAGCACTTTCCAAAGACTCACAGATCTTAGGAGAATGCACTTCCAGCAGGAGAGCCCACGCTCTCAGATATGTCAGGGGACAGGGTGTGGGAAACATAGTGGAGGTGGCTGTAGGGACAGACTGGGGTCCCATGTTCCCTGCCAGTGCTTAGGTCACATCCATCTGCCCACCAACCCCATCTGGTGTTGTAAGGCCCAGTGACCTTCCAGGACAAGGTCAGGTACCTCTTTCAGAAAAAGTAGTCTCCTTGGTGAGGCCCGCTGGGGCTTCTGCTGGGTCATGTGTGTTGCCATCCTTCAAGGCCAGGCAGGTTCATGGTATTCGTGCAGACAGAAAAATATTCATGGAGCTGTTGGGAATTCTGGCATGCCTTTATTCACAGGTGGGTGAGCCATGCGTGCTGCAAGCTGCGTGTCTATCTGAATGTCTCATGTCATGGCCCTTGCTCACCAGTGTGGCACCCATCGTGGCACTTGTCCCCTTCCATGTCTCTCATCATCATCACTCCCAGCAGGGAGTCCCTGCCTGTTTAAGTACCAGAGGGGAACAAAGCCAACAAGATGCCAAAACCTTAAATAACATAACATAGCTCTGCACATGCGAGCCCACTTTATGTTATGGGAACAGTTTAACAGACACAGTCTCAAGGCTATGAGAACTAGTTATCAGGCCCCGCCAAGGCTATGGGTACACTGCTCCCCTTAGTTACCCAGACACCTGGGTGAGAAAGCCAGACTGCCTCCACTTACCCTACAACTTGGTTCTGTCCTCCCCAGGTCAGGCCCTGTGTTCCCCGTGGGAGGTGCTGAGGGCCCTGATTTGGCCCAGGTCCTGCTCCCTCTTCTCCCAGGCTGCCGTATGAACAACCCCGACAGCTTTTGCCTCGGGACCTTGATGACCATGGTCCAGGGTCCAAAGAATCACAAAACTGTTTAGCACATCACGTCAAGTTCAGTTATTTTCTGGGCAGGTGACCCAATTAGGGTCTGTGGCTTTTCTGGCCTCTCTGTCGCATCTCAATCCAGCAAAAGTTTTCTGCCAGCTGCCCCTTGTCAGCTCGGGTACTGGCATCACGGGCATCAACAAGGTCATCGATTATGGGGCACCTGATCTTCCCTGCGTGTTCATCTGGAGGTTCAGTTTTCCCAGAGGCATAGGTGATCCTCACCTACTTCGGGCTGTCACAAAGCACTTGGTCCCCCCCCCACCCCCCGCTAAGAATGACTGCCTCCACCCCCCACAATGTGGTCACACAACTGGAACACTAAAAGGAGACCTGGCTACTGGACAGGGCAGCTTGAATCAGGCCATGGCCAGTGAGGCCCATGGAGGACCAGTCCTGGTGAGTGCAAGGTGTGCGAAGGCCCGTGGCAGCAGGCTGGTCTCTCCCCTGGTACCTGACCTGTGCCTTTGTTGTCCTGGCACTGAAGTGAGTAACCCTGCCTCCTTTCTATCTTTTTTGCGTGGGTAACCACAATCCTAACCGGGATGCCATCTCTTATGTGGTCAGCATCAGGAACTGGGAGAATCATCCCGAGTGCCACTGCCCTCGGGACATGCTTTGGGACAAACACTGGGTCAGAGCCTTTCTGTCTGGGGACCCAGGGCTCCCAGCATCCTGCTTATTTTGAGTCATATGTGATGACCCAGGAACACATAGGCAGCATATATACCTGTAATTTTTTGTATAGAAGTTTTGGGGAAACACTTTTCAACATTTATAAAATTGCCCTGGCTGGTATGGCTGAGTGGATTGAGCACCAGCCTATGAACCAAAAGGTTGCTGGTTCGATTCCAAGTGAGAGCACATGTCTGGGTTTCCTGCCAAGTCCTCAGTAGGGGGAGTGTGAGAGGCAACCAATGGAGGATTCTCTCCCCATCTTCTCCGCTCTCTAAAAATAAATACTCAGTGGACTGAGTGCTGGCTTGCAAACGAAAGGGTCTGCAGTTCGATTCCAGGTTGAGGCACCTCCCTGGGTTGCAGGCCAGGTCAGGTCCTCAGCTTGGGGAGGCACGAGAGGCAACCACACATGGATGTTTCTCTCCCTCTTTTTTTCCCTCCCTTTCCCTCTGTCTAAAATAAATGGATAAAATCTTTAAAACAAAATGAAAATAAATGATTTTTTTATTTTAGATTTTAAGCCACACCAGACAGGTTCAGTAAATAAAACCTTTTTAAAGGCAATTGAAAAAGTAAAATGAGCCCTAGCCGGTGTGGCTCAGTAGATTGAGTGCCAGTCTGCAAACCAAAGGGTTGGCAGTAATTCCCAGTCTAGGGCACATGCCTGGATTGTGGGCCAGGTCTCCAGTAGGGGGTGGGTGAGAGGTAACCACACATTGATGCTTCTCTCCCTGTTTCTCACTCCTTTTCCCTCTCTCTAAAAATAAATAAGTAAAATGAAAAAAATAAAAATAAAAAGATCCACATAAAAATATGGATCTTTCACTCCTCTTAGAAAACCAGAAAGTAGGGCAACAATCATGTTGATTCTACCACCTCTGACCCCTGTACCTGGGGACAGCCCTGCCTCGGTGGCAGCAGATAATGCAGACCACACTGTCACACTCACCTCGAACACTGACTGCCAGATCTCAGTCCCTGCCTATGCTGTGATGGCCTTGAACAGCCCAAGGAGGCTACAGGAATCCACACCACCTTTGGATAGTTTGCTCCGGCCATGGGCAGGACACCATTGTGCCTCTGCTCAAGGACCATCCATGCTTGTTCTAGAGGACAAGATGAGGGTGTGCAGGATGTCTCCAGACCTGCAGAGCTGAGTCTCCTGTGGCCAAGGTTGCCGTCAACAAATTTGGCAAATAATGCAAATTAGTTTTTTCTTGTTTTGGGTTTGTTTGTTTTTTTTTCCCACAGAAAGCTATCGCTATTTTTTTTGTGGTATAAATTCCACCATGGCTGATTTCAAACTCCCCATGTGATGTCACTGTGAGTGGGTAAATATGGCCCAGGTGCAGCAGCTACTGTACTTCCTCCATTTGCCAGTCTCCCTGACCCGCTGAATTCAAACCCACTGTTTCTGCACCCACTTATGGTTCCCCTTGGCTCCTGCAGATCTTGCATCTAGTGACACCTACTTATGATTCTGGACTTCAGGGGCCTTACTCATCAGCAAGTCCTAGGAGACAGTGGCCCCTCAACACTACTTGGGGATGTGGGACATTACCAGGAATATGGGAGTGCCTCCCAGGAAGTACTGGAGATTGCCACATCAAATACCTACTCCCCAAAGCTCTAGGCCCAACAGGTAGTCCTGGCTTCCACACACAGGATTTGACCCAGAGACCTACAGTCTGTCCCAGGAGGCCCTGGGCCACAGGGCAAATTAGGGTAAGCTGGAAAGCAAGCTATTCCTTACCATCCCAGTGTCATCCGTAGCCTCGACAATGCCTACAAAGAAGGGCAGCCTCCTCTGAAAGTCCTCAGACTCCAGATCCTCCTAGAACTCGGTCAGGATGCCTGAACCATAGGGGACAGGTGGAAAATTAGGCCACTCCAAAGGGCACCCATCACTCATGGCTCCCTGTAGGGAATGAGAGGACACGGGTCTGCCTTCCCTGAGTATGTTGTGGTGACAGGCACCTGTGCTGGGGGCCTGCCAGCTGGCAAAGGTGGGATGGCATCTGGCAGTGACACAACCTGGCGAAGCACCTGAACAGGTTAGTGTAGCCCCTGAGAGCTTCCCCCGTTCAAGGGACACACACAGGCAGTGTCCTGGTAGGGGTATTGGGATGTGCAAGTTTCCACTTTTGGCCAATGGTTTCCTCACAGAGGTTCCTTTCACAGACGCTGTCTCAGAGTGAGTCCTTCATGGTGAAAAGGGAGAGAGCTCCGGCTTGTGCTCCTCCATCCGTGCCACACTCCTCAGGCCCTTCTTAGCTGTGACCTCTCTGGTGCTTCGTGGGGCTGGAGCTCGGACAGAAGGTTTTTTGGGAGGGGACAACTCCTTCCCAGATGTGTGTCTGACACACTCAGGAATGAGTCTATAGGATTAAGTCAGAGTGTAGTAGAGCCTACAGTGTAGGACTAGGCTCAAGAAAGCCACAGAAGCCCTGGCTGTGTGGCTCAGTGGATTGAGTGCTGAATTGAAAGGTTGCTGGTTCGATCTCAGTCAGGGCACACGCCTGGGTTGTGGGCCAGGTCCCCAGTTGGGGGTGTGCAAGAGGCAACCAGTCTATGTATCTCCCATACATCAATGTTTCTCTAGCTCTCTTTCTCCTCTCCTTCCCCTCTCTCTAAAAATAAGTAAAATTTGAAAAAAAGAAAGAAAGAAAGCCACAGGAGGCAAGTCCTCAGCATGTAGGAGAATGCAGGTGTGGGGTCCAGGCTGGGATGAGAGTCAGGGACTCCCACTCACTTCTTAGCTTTCAGCAGGACCCAGTACAGGCGATGTCTGACAGGGAACAGGGACAAAGAGCGGTGTGTGCAAGCCCAGGAAAATCCAGCTGCAGCTGGGCACCTGGTGCTCAAGTCTGTATGAGCACATGCGCTCATCTCCTCGTGCACTGAGTGTAGTCTGATATGGGATGGCCCTGCAACGGGAGAGGATGAGGAGAATGGGGGAGACACAAAGATCAAAGCAGTGGGGTTATCCATCATGGACGGACAGGGACAAAGTAGAAAAGTGGGAGTAAGATGTGGCCACTGGCCCCTGCCACAAGCACTAGTGGACACAGCAAGTGCAAAGTAGAGTGTGAGCCCAGCCTCACCTCACGTCTCCCCCAGCTCCCATTCACGACAGCCAGGCCCCCTCTCAGCCTCTCTTGCAATGGCTGCAGACATGTCCACCACATCAGGCACCAGTGCATTTTGCCCTGTTTCAAGTGGCAGCCAGACAGAACTTGGAAGATGCAAGTCCTGGGAGAAAGACAGGGTGGGTAAGTGGCTGGCCCAGCTCAGGGCAACCCACCCTGTGACAGACCAAAGGGAGCTCATGCCATCTTTGCAACTGGGAAGGAAACACAGTTGCAAAATAAGCCTCTGAGGAGTGGGTATCTTACAGGAACAGCCCCGTGGGCCCCACTGACTAGGATGTCGGTGTTTATGGTCCATGGCACAGCCAGACTCCTGGAAATGTCTGACAGAAAAAGGGGGCGGAACCTGAGCACAGAGGTTCCACCCGTCCGGGCAAACTCAGGTAGCCTGACAGGCTCTTGGCTCTGAGTCCTTCCCAGGAAGTCTTCAGAAGCAGCTGTTGGGTCTCCTTAGAGAGGAGCAGACTGTACCTGCAGCCCAGCTCTGCACACACAGCAGGTAGTTCAGGGGAGGAAGCAGTGTTCGTACTCAGCTGTGGGAAGACAGCTGCTCCTGGGAGAAGAGGAAAGGCAGAGCCTAGAACAGGAGGCCGGGAGGGTGAGGGCCTTTCCCAGCTAGGCCACAAGTGCCAAGTTCCCCAGCAACACACTGTGGTACAAGCATCTCTGAGCCTTATCCAGGAGCTCCCACTCCTCCTGGGATAAGTACACCGCTATGCTTTCAAAGGTCACACAGCCCTGCCATGATGGGGACAGCTAAGTCAACCAGACCAAAAGACAGCAGAAAAACAAACAAAAACAAAAACAAACAAAAAAAATGCACAGATGAACACATCCAGACTAGGCCTGTGATCCCACATCCCAATACATCTGGTGGGCAAAACTACTCCTAACACACTCCTCCTACCAAACTCCAGTGCCATGAGTGCCAGCCCCAGTCATGTGTCATCCCACCTCTGTCTCCAATATGTCTCAGCCTCCATCTGAGGGACCTTGGTCACCTTCTGGACCCTCCTCTCCCCCACACACCTTTCCTCATTGCTGTTCCTCCCTTCATCTGACATTGTGATAGCCTCCCTCTCCCTCTCCAGGCACCCAGGCCAGCCACCCATTCCTCAGTTGCCCTGACCATGTCTAAAGATGCCCCCTTATGAATCGGATCCACAGCTCCCCTTCAGTTCACCAGCTGGCTTCTGCCGACTGCCCATCTCCAAGCTAAATCCCTCAGTATAATTTAGACCTGCATGTCCAGCTGCCCATCCATCACCTCCACTCAGGAAACTCAGCCTCAACATGGGCAAAATCCACCTCCTGATCTCCCCTGATTTCCCATCTCAGTCAACTCACTTCCACTTTCCAGTTGCTGGGCCCAAAACCATGAACACACCCCTACCTCATCCACTTCTCTTTCTCACCTTCCACATTAAAAAAATCTGGCTGGCTTAACCTCAAAGATCCAAAATCCAATCCCTTCTCCCAACTCCTTCACCACTCTGGCCAAGCCACCAGTCACTCCCCTGGTCTGTTAAGGTCACATCCTTATGGTCCTCCCTTTCTCCTTGCTAACCCTCACCCCTGCCACATCTGTTTTCCACTCTGCAGCCACAGGAAGCTTGTGAACACCTGAATCAGGTTATCCTCCTCTGCTCCAATCCTTGGGTGGCTCCCACCCACCTCCCTCAGATGACAGGCCTAGCACCTCAGGCTGCCACTCCAGGCCTGGCTCCAGTCCACTGGTCCCAAGGCCAACCTGAACACTACCAGCTCAAGTCGCACCTCCAAGCATTTGCACATCCCGGTGCCTGTGCTTGAAACAGCCTCCCACACCTTGTCCTGATGTATTCGAGAAATGACCGTCTTTCCACATAACCCCTGCTTCGGGAGACCCTAGGGTCCCCAGCAGCGAAGGAAGGGGACGGAGAAGAGTCCAGGCACACCGGTCGTCTCCGCCCCCCTGGGGGGTCCCGGGCCCTGTGGGTGGGGTCCGAGTGAGAGGTCAGAGCCGCCACCATTGGATCCGAGCCGGCCCTGTGTGCTCGGCCGACCCCACACTTGCATTGAGTCGGATGCCCGCCCGCCGCCCGTCACTTCACAGTGCAAACGTGCACAGGTCCCAGGGCGCCGCCTCCTGGGGCCGCAGGGACCGAGGGCGGGTGCGCAGCACTCCCGTTACCGGGGATCGCAGCCGGCACAAAGCGCCGAGGTCGGCCCCATCCCGCTCACTGGCGGGCTGGTCCTGAAGAAGCGCAAAAAAAAGCGGCGGAGACGCAGGGCTCAGAGCCCCAACCGTAACATAGAACGACCCGGCAATAGCAAACTGATCTTCCGCTAGATAACAGCTAGAAGTCCCGCCCCTACCGACTGAGCCACAGGGAGTACTCGTTATTTTGCGCTGTGATTGGCGCAGGTGCCCCCGAACCCCCGAGCCTTTTGGTCAATGTAGTTCGGCCTACATCCGAGCGGGCGGCTTCAGCTTTTCCATGGCAACGCTTAAGCGCCATCGTGAAGGGTTCTGGGAAATGAAGCTCCTAATTGAAGAACAGCCCATTGGAGGCTTCGCTTCCTCTTAAAGGGGCCGCTCCCAGATTTCCTCCCTCAGCGATGTCCCGCAAGCGATCCACGTCCTGGGCCTCGGGCTGCCAGCCCTGAGGGGCTTCTGGGAAGCACTTTTCTTCTGTGTGTGAAATGGAGATATGTCCCGTCCCCCAAGGAGACTTTGTGCAGTAATATTAAACATCTTTTATTCATCGATCTCCAAAGTATGGTCCCTGAGTCAGTACCATCAGCATCACTGGGGAACTTGCAAGTTCTTGCCCCATTACACGGAATCGGAAACTCTGGGGTTGACCCACTCTCCTGAGGAATTGGGATGCTCACTCGTAATCAGCTCTACGTCAAATTCCAGAGAGGAAACTTGGAAAATACAGCTTTCCTGCTTAGCACAGGTCCAGGGACCGGGGTGCTAAGTACATGAGAGCTGTTAGTATTATTGTTTCACCACCGCCACTATCATCATTATCATGGCCAAAAGGCACCCTGGAACTACCCTTCCCAGAAGGCTCTGCGAGTGACTCCGCTTCATGCATTGGACCTGTGAGGGCTGGCGGGGGTCGAACTTCCGGCCTCCGAGACTGTCACTTCGCTGCAGGCCGTCGGGCCACCGCGGTGTTGGGGGCTGGAGCGCGGCTGGTGGGTCCGTTTTTCTAGGAGGTTCTGGAGACCGGAGGCGAGGGCCGAAGGAAGACGTGGGCTCAGGGCCCGCTCCGCAAGCGCTGTGCTTGCGGGCCGACGGCCACGCCCCCCAGCCTTGGTTTCTCCGGTGTCGCGTGGGCCCCCTGGGGCCTTCGGGCGGCTCCCGGACCCACGTGCTCTCCGGCCTCCGTGGCGTCGCGGAGGCGGTACCTTGGGCATCTGTGCCCTTGACGGACTCGGAGACTGAGGCCAGGAGTAGGGGCGCCCGGCTCGGCTGCCGCAAGCGCAGATTCCGATGGCGGCGGCGGCGCAGGTGAGTAGAGGTAGCCCCAGACCCCAGGCGCCCGCCGGGACCCCTCCTCCATGGACCAGAATCCCGCCTGGGAGGGATTTCACCTGACGTTTTATCTTCCCCTCTTGATACGCCCTGGACCCGGTATCCAGGTCAGTGGGGCGTGCACGTGAAGGATCCCCACTTCTGGCAGCCAAGGAGGTGAGGGTCCCGCACGTGTAAAAGATGGGAAGGGAGACAGCCTTTGTGCTTTCGGACGAGAGCTTTTCACGTGGAGCTCGAGAAGATAGTATGCATGAAGTGTCAGGCCGAGGAGTGGACTATCCCGAGGGCACCGGGAGCTATAGATGATTTTAGACATGGTGACATGGTTAAAGTTAGGAATTTTAACCAATTCCGTTGTTTCCTGAATGAAGAACAGACACAGGGGAGGGGTTGTATGCAGGGAGGAGACAATGGTGCATGGACCAGATTGGGTTTTTGGAGATGGGAAAGCTGTTGAATTCCCAATACATCTGCCTTGTTATCAGGTGCAGGCTGTGACTGGATGTCCTATGTGAAGACCTTCCCAAGATTTTTTAGTCTGAGCAACAGAAGAATGGAGCTGCTGGGAACTAAGTCAGGAATTTGAAGGGAAAGCAGGTTTCAGGGGAGAATCGGGAAGAATCTGCCCAGAGTTGAGTTGTCATGTGCACCTGGAATTGTTGATTTTCAGAGACGGAGTTCTGGTTTTCTGAGCTGAGGCAGGGCCTAGGAATCAAATGTAGGAAAAGGAGATTTCACTGACTCAGCTAGGGAGATAAAGAGCTGCTCACAGTTTCTGAGGTTCTTGGGAAGTCTGGCAGGTGGCAATCAAGTTAAGAAGAAAATAGAGAGGGTATGGCTATGGAAGGAGAAACTGGCCCACTAGATCCTTTAGTTCACTCTGTGGAGACCAGAGGGGATCAGCCAGTCCTTTGGGCTGGGAGAGCGGCCTTAAAATGTCAGGCAAGTTCAGCAGGGCCAGCATTGCCAACAGAGGTGGGCATGTGGTGCGAGGGAAACAGCTGAGACACATACAGCTGCTTACTGAGAGAGCACTAGGGGCATGTCTGGGGAGTCAGCCTGTGCAGAGGCTGGAGAATGACTGGATGCCTGGGACTCCCCTTGGATTGGCAGCCCGCTGACAGTTGGGGGCTTGCTCTGGCAGCCTTGATTAGAGTGGCCAGTGGACAGGCCAAGGAGGCTTGTAAGGCCTAGTCAGGGAGGGGGCCTAGACAGGTGAGAGGATTTGCATCTTCGGGGGAAGGTAAATGTCTGAGGGAGATCAGAAGTAGCCACTGGGACAGAAAGTTGGGCCTTGGGTCACACAGCCATAATTTACATCATGTCTGTCTTCCCCTGCCCACTGCTGTAGGGCCTGATTGTCTTTGAGGACGTGGCCGTGTACTTCTCCCGGGAAGAGTGGGGGCTCTTGGACGCAGCCCAGCGGGCCCTGTACCGCCACGTGATGCTAGAGAACTTTGCACTGGTGGCCTCACTGGGTAAGGCCCTGGGTCCTCCATGGGGAAGCTTAGTTGTCACCGGGCTGCTCCACCAGCACCAACCCCTTATCTCCTGGTGGCCATCTGAGCAGCCCCACACCCACTGTCTGGCTATGGCACCTCTAAGTATGTCTGTCCAGCTATGGTCCCTCTGTGCCTGGGCTCCTTTGGTACTGCTGACATGTTTCTCCGCACAGGAACCATTAAGCTGCTCCTATGAGCCCTGAACAGTGGTGGGACCTTCAGGTTTTCTTAGTTGCACAGATGACGCCACCTCTGATGCATGAAGCCCTGACTCCTGCCATCTGTTGGACACTTCGTTGTCGTGAGCTGGGGCTGGCCCCTCACATGCTTGTCTTGTCTTACAGGACTCTCCGCCTCCCGACCTCGTATAGTCATCCAGCTAGAGTGTGGTGAGGAGCCCTGGCTTCTCAGTGGGTCAGATGTGACCCTGGCCAGGAATGCCCAGAGGAGGCCCAGCCCTGGTGAGTGGGGCTTCCAGGGTAGGGGGGTGTCTCTCTTTCCCACCCTGCTGGACACTGTCCTCTCCTGCCTCCCACCTGATTCCCTCCTGTTCTCCTTCCACCATTAGCCTCTCTTACAGGCTCCAGCCTTGGCTGCCCTTAAGTGCGGAAGTCCCAGGACACCCCAGACCTCAGAATCCCACCCTCAGCCATAGTGTATGGTCTTAAACCTTCCCTGTCTTACCTTACCATTTTGTCTCTGGGGCCATTCATTCATGTGTTCATTGTTTCTTGAGCTCTTGCAATGACCAGGCCTCGGAACCACAGGCACAGCCTTGACCAGGACGATCCTGGTCCTGCCTTCGTGGAGTTCACCATGCGAGGGGAGAGGCATCTGTAAACAGAGTTCATGAGTAAAACTCCGGCGTCAGGTAGCCATCAGCATAAGGTGCACAGCAAGCTGGGGAGTCCCCCAGACAAGTGAGCTGCGTACAGAAAGGGTATCTGTTCTTCTCTCTAGCTTCCACCAGACCTTGGGGGTCTTCTTGCCCACCCACTTGGACTGTCCCAGTCACTTCCCCGTGGTCAGGATGACCTAGTAATCCACTGTTTCTGTGCCTTCAGGTTCCCAATGTCTGGCAGAGGGCAGAGATGTTTCTGGGGAAGCAGCATGGCCAAGAACCTTCCAGGATAGGCTCCCTCCGATGCCTGCCAGGGTCTTCCCCACCACTGCTGCCTGTGAACCTGAAAAATGCCCGGAGGCTTGGCAGGGCATTTCCTCATCTCAGGAGAGAAAACCCACGGGGGTCTCCGTGATCTACTGGGAAAGGCTCCTGCTACGCCCGGGCAGTGGTGAGGCCAGCATCAGCCTGCGGCTGACCTCCCCACTGCGGGCTCCTCTGGGCAGCCCACCCACAGAGAAAGCCCTCACAGACCATGCAGAGCCAGGCAAGCAGCTGAGGGCCTCCGAGCTTCAGAAACCCCCTGGGAGAACCTTCCTGAGTGTCCCAGACCTTGAGGCCAGTCACACTGTGGGGCAACTAGGAATGGGGATGGCTTGGCAGGAACCTCAGAGACTCCCTGCCTGCCAGGAGCCCCCAACCTGGGATGAGCTAGGCGAGGCCCTCCATGGTAGCCCTGGCCTGCTCCCCGGGGAGAAGACCTTCGAATGCAGGGCATGCAACAAGGTGTTCGTGAAGAGCTCTGACCTCCTCAAGCACCTGCGCACACACACCGGGGAGCGACCCTATGAGTGCACACAGTGTGGCAAGGCCTTCAGCCAGACGTCGCACCTGACACAGCACCAGCGCATCCATAGTGGTGAGACCCCCTATGCGTGCCTGGCCTGCGGCAAGGCCTTCAGGCACAGCTCCTCACTGGTGCGGCACCAGCGCATCCATACCGCCGAAAAGGCCTTTCGCTGCAGCGAGTGCGGCAAGGCCTTCAGCCATGGCTCCAACCTCAGCCAGCACCGCAAGATCCATGCGGGTGGGCGGCCCTATGCTTGTGCGAGGTGTGGCCGCCGCTTCTGCCGCAACTCCCATCTGATCCAGCACGAGCGCACACACACGGGTGAGAAGCCATATGCCTGCACACTCTGTGGAGCCGCCTTTAGCCAGGGCTCCTCCCTCTTCAAGCACCAGCGGGTACACACTGGTGAGAAGCCCTTCACCTGCACACAGTGTGGTCGCGCCTTCAGCCACAGCTCCAACCTCACGCAGCACCAGCTGCTGCACACGGGCGAGCGGCCCTACCGCTGTGGTGACTGTGGCAAGGCCTTTGCCAAAGGCGCCGTGCTGCTCAGCCACCGGCGCATCCACACGGGAGAGAAGCCGTTTGTGTGCTCGCAGTGCGGCCGCGCCTTCCGCGAGCGCCCGGCCCTCTTCCACCACCAGAGGATCCACACCGGTGAGAAGCCAGTGCGGAGGCGCAGAACCAGGCCTCCTTCAGGGGCCTCATCAGAGAGCGCCCCAGGGGACCCACCCACTTCTGCCTCAGGCCCAGCAGCAGCAGAGCTGCCAAAGCCACCAAAGCCGGCTGAGGCCTAGGTCCCAGCTCCGCCCTTTCTTACCTGTAACGAGCCCCTTCCAAGGCTGAAGGCTGAATCCTAAGCAAATCCACTCTGGAGAAGCCTTGTGTGTGCTCTGAAGTTCACATGGTGACATCTGCCACTTCAGCCACAACTGCCTCTTCCATCCCTCAGAGGTCTCATTGCAGAACAGTCAGGAAGATGGACATGGAGGCTGGGACTTGGTGGGGCTGAGTGGTGGCTGTCAGAGGCAGGGGAGGCTGGCATCGTGGTGCCCCTTGTCGCATGTTATGACTGGACACTTAGGGGAGGAGGGGAGTGCCGGGATGGGGGTGGAGGTGGTCCAGAGGAATTTGTGATGTCCACACCCAAAATGTCTGGTTCACAAACACTCAGGATACTCCCCCCAGGCGTCTGTTCATCCGAGGCTCCCTGGGAGGGTGCACAGTGGACAAGAGGTCATGTCGGGTTGGGTGCTGGCCTTGGGCAAGGGGCTGGGCTCTAAGCCTCAGCTTTCTCTTCTAGAGAAGAGAAGGGGGGAAAAGGATTCCAGCCTACAGAGGGTGTTTGCAGCGCCCCGATAGACAGGTTCTTTATAAGGCCAACACGTGCCAACTTCCAGCTCTTGTTCTTAGTGCTGCAAGGTTCCCCCTAACAGTCCTTTGAGGTGGCTGATGTGGCCATTGCCCCCACTTCTCATAATAGGAAACAAAGGCGCAGAGATGGGGTGTAAGTTACACACTGTAGGGCCAGGCCTAGCATCCAGGCAGCTCACCATCCCACCCCCACACTCGTCTGGCAGCTGTGAGGGCAGAGAGAGGCCTGGCCTGGCTCCCTGCACATGGCCAGCTGTTGGGAGGTGGAAGAGGTAGAGGTCTGCAGGGGGAAAGAGAACGATAGCTCCCCAGCCACACTCGTCCATACAGATTCACATCCAAGCCTCAGCTCTGGCCATGTCCCGTTGTTACCAAAGTCAAAGTTACAGGAGCCTTTATATCCCCACTGCCCTGACAGGAAGTGACTGAAATAACAGGCTCATAGAAGACAAGATAGGGCTGCTTGCTTCTGCAGGGTCTCTGCCCAGGTGTGGCACCCTTCTGAGATCTGCCCTCAGTGTGATACCCCCACATGATGGGGACACTGAGGCCGACAGTTGGGGTGGGGGCCAGTTTGCTTCCTGTGGCCTTTAGCGGACTAGAGCCCATCTCGACCTCTGGCCTCACTTCCAGGGAAGTTAATGGTCTTTTTGCTTAGGGAAAAAAGGACTAGAAGTTACAACTTGGAACTAACTTGGGAGAGACATTGACTGTAAATTCTTACACAACTCTCTGGGAGTCCACACCTTCAGGCTCCCCTCCCACCAAGTCCAGGGAGCCTCCCTTATAAAGGTTTCTTTTTCAAATAAGTGCATGGTAACAGCCTGGTTTCACCCTAGCACAGAGTGGATGTGTCACCGCTATAGACCTGTGGGGACTTGGCTTCAAACTGGTGGGTCTTTTGGAAAAGCCACAGGGTAGAGACACAGCCTGTCTATGGCCCCCTGAAGTGCTGGGAGACCTGGGCAGGTAGATGGGGTGAGACTGCCCCAAACAGCAGCTCTGCTAGGAGTTGAGCCTTTGTGGTTCCAAGCTATGGCATCTGAGGCAGGGGCTACATGTGACCCCAAAGGTTGACTGCAGTCCAGCAGGTGTTCCAATCCCATCATATCTAAGACCTCACAGACATCTGCCATACTGAGTGAGCACAGACATGATACCCCCACTCCCACTCCCCACCTGCCAGCAGAGCCAGTCCTATCTTTTGTCCCAGAAACCACACAACGATGTGGGGAGAGGAGAGGAGTCATGCAAGACCCCACCCCCCAGACCCTTCCAGGACATATGCTCCATGCCTGGGCTCCTGAGCCATTGTCTGCCCCTCCTGGACTCTTGCCCTCTGCTCTGGTCCACATTCTGGCCTTGCCCCCATCTCTCCTTTCCCCGGGCTTGCCTCCCCACCCTGACTGAGAGCTCCCCTTCTGGGAGCCTGTGGGGACTCAGAGAGTCACATGCAACATTTTCTGCAACTTGGACAGAAGCTCCTCCAGGAGCCCAGTTTCCACCTTGAGCTCTCCTGACCCCTCAGCCTGAGTCTACTGTCTCTCCACTAGCCTCCTCCATGCTTCCTTGAACTTCCCACCTCTGTAGCCTCTGCTATCTCTGAGTTTTTCCATAAATGTACCCCTCCCACTACTCAGGACTGTTCAGTGGCCTCCACTCTGTTCCTACGGGAAGAGCAAACATGGGCATCCTCCTTCTCCCATGTGTTGGCCCCTAAGTTGCCCTCCCTCAAACCTCTGGTCACATTGAGCCTCATCTTGCCAGGCGGGCTCCCATACTCTTAGGCCTGAACAGGCTGTGACTATAAAAGTGCTCCTAGTCTTTCTGGGTCAAGATGGTGAACTGAACCCATCCTCACTTGGTTCAAAAGCCAACTGAAACCAGAGAAGACCGTGTTTAAGACAAATCCTGTGGGTTTGTGAGGAAGAGGATGGAAAAAAGTACATGACAATGGCATTCTACACCTAGATGAGGATGAGGTAGCTGTCACTGACTTAGGGAAAGTCAGTACTGAGTTGGCATGGGTAGATGCAGACTCACCAGCTTATGCTGCAAAACAAGAAATCATGACACCAGCAGTCTCCTGTGAGGGAAGACCTAAAGAATGACTGAAGGGAGAGATACTGGAGGAGCTGTGAGAGCCCCAGGTCTCTACAGTGGATGGTGAGAGATCCGATTGTAGAGGGTCTGCATAGTCCCTGTGAAAAGACCTAAGCCCCCACAAAAGAGCCCAATTTAATGATGCCACTGGGAAGAGTTGACAATTCCCAGCCACTCACATGCTCAGAGCTTCCTTCCAATCAGTGGTTAAGACCACAGCTCTTTGTAACGAGCTGGCAGCCAGGGACTCCTAGGTATCAGAAGTCATGTTTCAGCAAAACTGACCTCGATAACACTGCCTATGGAGATAAATTAAAAATAAAGGTCACCTTACTAGTTCTGACCCCCAAAGTAAGTAAAAGGTTTCAGTACTGGTATCTGAAGACCGGCCAGACTCAGGATATGTAAATCATGGGACAGTTTCCTCATTGGTAAATGGGTGCCCACGGGAGAAAGCGCAGGGGGAAGATCAAATGAAGGACCCACACTCTACTCGCTGAAGCAGGTCGGCGGGCCTTCCCAGCCGGACCCTGTTTCTTTCTGGGATCACCAGGAGGTAAGTCTCTGCGGAGATAGTACGCTACCCCGTCTCCTCTGAGGGCAGAGAGACGCTCCAGCTGTTGCCTTGGGAACCTCTGCAGACAGGCAGACTTACTCCTGCGGTTGGACTCCCGCAAGACCAGCCACGTGCCTCAAGCAGCACGTTGAGGGAGGGGCCTGAACAGAGTGCCAGCTCTGATTGGCCAAAGGGTCACGTACCTCACCTCTCTTACCAATAGGAGCCCTATCCGTTTTGCACATGCGCAAAAGTCTAATGGCCCAGCTTGGCAGTTGGTGAGTTGTGGGACGCAGATGCAAAGAAGAACGGCCGCCAGTGAAGGAAGGAAACTCCATAAACTGAACTACGCTGCAGATTCCTCTACGAGGAATGGAGCGCCTCTTAGTAGTGAAAGATCTCGGAAAATGAGCCTCCGCTGGCGGATGCCGCGACTGTCCTTGCGTGTTGAAGCTCATGGGAAACGTAGTCCTAAGGGAGGGGGCGGTGTCTTCGGAGCAGGGGTGTGATTGGCCAGAACTGTGTCGCCAAGGCAACGCGAGGGAAGGGTGAGGCGGGGCGTCCTGCGAGAGGTGGGAGAGGAGCGGAGGTGCCATTGACCGGAAGTGGCCTGCGGGCGCGGTAGCTGAGGTGAGCGTGGGCCCGGTAGGGCTGGGCTGGGCGCGGCTTCTTCCTCCCGGGACCCAGGCCCTCCTCCTTGCGCTAGGGAGCGCCCGCGTATCTCCCTACATTTCCTGTGCGCCTCACCTCCGAATGTCTCCCACCCAAAGCATCGTTCTGCCTCCTCTGGGAAGACCTCCCTTCCTCCCTTCCATTTTTGAGAGATAGACTCGGGAGGCTGATCTCGCGGGTCTGACAGGACCCCCCCACGTGGGCGTGTTTCATTCCAGACCCTCTTCAGGGTCACAGTTGCCTTCTCACGACTTCACAGTTCGTGGCTCCGTTGTGCTGTGCTTTTGATTTTCACATGCACAGCCCAGACGGTGCGAGTCATCCACAGTTCGCTGTGGTCGGCGAGCACAGAGCCCTGGAGTCCAGCCTCAACCCTCGACCGAGTGCGCAGACGCGCCTGTCCCAATAGCCAGCCCCTCAGGGCGACCACTTCAGTCAACATGTTCTGCCCTACCCCCTTCCCACTCTCACGGCCCCAAACCTCCCTGTCCTCTGGACTGACTGCTACATCCCTCCTCTGCTGGACACTTCCTGTGGCTCCTCCTCAGCCTGATCCTGGAAACCTGTCTCTCCAACACCCCCTGTTGTCCCCAGATGTTGGCACTTTCCTGGAAGCTCCATTGGACAACCTACCTCCAAGTACTTGTCCAAAGCTTGGCTTATCCTGACGATGGCCTTTTGGCCTGTACCCTGACCCCTCCTTTTCTGCAGGTTCCCCTTGGTGGCTCCAAGAAGACTCCTGACACAAAAATGCCATCCTCACTGGACTCCCCACTCCTGCCCTCCATGGACCCTGAGGCCACCTTAGAGGACCCTGAGGCAGCGCGCCTGCGCTTCCGGCGGTTCTGCTACCAGGAGGTGGCCAGTCCCCAAGAAGCTCTGTCCCGGCTTCAAGAGCTCTGCCGCCAGTGGCTGCGGCCAGAGGTGCACTCCAAGGAGCAGATGCTGGAGCTACTGGTACTGGAACAGTTTCTGGGCTCACTGCCTGCTGAGATCCAGGCCTGGGTACGAGTCCAGAGACCAGGTAGCCCTGAGGAGGCTTTGGCCCTGGTCGAGGGCTTGCAGCATGATCCTGGGCAACTACTGGGCTGGGTGAGTATGGCCAGTTTGGCTTTAAGGAGGTACAGAGCAAGACTAGAGCCCTGGTGACTTCTCTCTTCCCTTCAGATCACAGCCCACGTCCTGAAACAAGCAGTGCTCCCAGCAGCACAGCAGGCAGAGGACTCACTGGGGAGACCCCACTCTCCAGGAATAGTAGAGCCCCTCAGGGCAGCTGCTGGGGAGGGGCCACAGGATGCCCAGAAGAAGGGGTCTGCTCAGCCCAACTGCAGCGTGAAGGTGGAGCCTGATGCGGATGGGCAGGAAATGGGTGAGAGTGGAGGCCACACTTGGCTAGGGGTCTCCTGGTGGAGTGTGGACGTCCCCAGCTGGAATTGGGACCCAGGAGGGACTATAGACTACATGGCAGGTCCCTGCAAGGCAGGAACAAAGTGCTGGCTCACTGCTTGCCATGTGGCTGGCACACACAGTGGCCTCCTACCTGCTGGTAGAGGAGGGCCATGGCTGCAGCACCAGTACCAGCTCATCTGCCCTGGCTCACGTGTCTGCCTCCTGACCCCTGACCCCTGTCTGCCTCTCTTCCTAGTACCTGGTAGTCCCTTAAATCCAGCCCAGTCCCAAGAGGGGCCAGTTGGACATGGGGAACCTGACTCCGCCTCCTTCCATCCACCCAGGATTCAGGTGAGCAGCCCCAGGTGGGTGGAGAATGTCCTTGGTGGCCACTCTGCCTGCCAGTGTTTCAGGCTCCTAGGCCAGCCATTTTTGTACTTTGCTGCCCAGATCAGAGTTGGTACCAGGGTGCCCTGTAGGTCCTGGGGGACGGGGACAGATTGGCAGTCTAGATAGTTGGGGAGGATTTTAGAAAACTGATTTAGAGTATGATGGGAACTGTTAGGAATCGGCTTCCTCACTGAGAAGTCAGGGGGTTGCAGCTCCCAGCAGTCCCGAGCCGACACGTGGGGATTTGCATCTACCCATAAGGGTGTACAGGTGGGGAGGGGACAAGATGACCAACCATGGGTGAAAGCCTGAGCCTCAGCCACACAGCAGTCCTGTCTCCCCAGCACAACTGAGGTCTGAATGGAGAGGCTCTTCGCAGGAAATGCCCGCAGTCCTCTCTCTCCAGCTGGGTGTGGAAGCTCAGCTGAGGCCCCCGCTACCTGCACTGCTCGCTTCTTGAGTATGGGTAGCAGGGGCCCTGTCCTCTCCCAGCAACTTTGCTCCTAAGCCACTCTACTCGAGCATCCCAGTGGAAGAGGTGGTTGAGATGAGCTAGGAGGCTTTGAAGTGCCCCAGACTCCCTCCATAGCCTGAGGGACAATAAGAAACATATACAGACTCGTTCAGAGTCTCCTCACCTCCAGTCAGCACCATCCCGGCTGTGACTCCCTGTGGCCACTGCCTCCCCTGTGGCTTGTCTGTGGGGACTATTTTTCCCAACCCAGCAAAGCCTCAACCAGATGATGAGATTTTGAGAGGCCAGAAGGGCAGACTCTCAAGGCTAGAAGGTTCTCCCTGTCCACACAGAGAACCCAGCCCACCAGCCCAACCATGTACATCACCTGCCCACATCACCTGTGCCAGGTGTGGGGGGCTGTACCTCCCATCATGTGGGCAGCCAGGTGCCCACATCTGGGAGTGCTGAGGGCTCTTTGCAGCTTCCCTGGAGAGGAGCCTGGAGTCCCCTGAGTCTCTTGATCTTTTGCCCAAGGGGACATTGCTCAAGGCACAGGTGTGGGTCCAGCCACATCTGTCTGTTACTCTGCCTCCCAGCAAATCCAGGAGTCGTAGATTCTGTTCCTCCAGAATGTGGGATGGGGCAGCTTGGGGATGAGTGCCAGCAGCTTCTGCCCAGTGAACCTCAGGCTGCTCCCACCCACCCGCTTCCCCATCTCTCACACCTCCTTCTGAGCATCCTCTGAGTCTCCAGGGAATGAGGCTGTGACCTGGGGAGGAGTGGAGGTGCAGGCAGTGAAAGGCCTCCTTCCGGCAGGAGGAGTGGGGGCTGCTGAATCCGTCACAGAAGGAGCTGTACTGGGACGCCATGCTGGAGAAGTACGGCTCAGTGGTCTCCCTGGGTGAGGACCAGCCACTTCCTGCATCCTTCCCTTCCCTGTGGGCACCCTCCTTCTTCCTCTTTCCCAAGGGGCTCCCTTGCCACCCGCCACGGTCCCCACCCTACCCCTCCTTTGTGCCAGCCTTTCACCTGCCCAGTTCCAGGAGTGGTGCCTGATCACTCCCCACCCCAGCAGGGTTACCACCCCCTAGGCTTGATGCATCTGCGGAGTTGGAGCCAGGGGCACTGAGCGCAGGGACAGAGGACCCAGGAAGCCTCTGTCAGCGTGAGTGCTGCCCCATGTGAAAAGGGCCACCTGGTATTGGGTGGGTTGGAGCTTGTGTGGCACACACTCAGTGGGGCGGGAGGGGAGGGGGGTCGGATGGCAGGCCAACGTTCTGGCACCGTGGCCACTGGTCCACCGCGTGTCCTTTTCCCAGGAGGTGAGAGTGAGGGTCCTCCAGGCTGCCCCGAGTCCCCGCTGTCCTGGGAGGGCCCGTCTGGGGCCACCGCATTGGTCCCACCGCCACCTGTGCCGAGCACCGCGCGCAAGCCCTACACCTGTGAGCAGTGCGGCCGTGGTTTCGACTGGAAGTCGGTGTTCGTCATCCACCACCGGACACACACCGGTGGGCAGGGTGCTCAGGCCTCAGCTCTGACCGTCGCGGGTGCTGAGAAGCCGCTGCAGAGTCCCCGGGAGCCAGGTGCCCTGCGCCACCCCCGGCGCACAGCCCCTCGGAACTACGCCTGCGAGGAGTGCGGGCGCAGCTTCAGTTGGAAGTCGCAGCTGGTCATCCACCGCAAGAGCCACGTTGGCCAGCAGCGCCACTTCTGCGGTGACTGCGGCCGCGGCTTCGACTGGAAGTCCCAGCTAGTCATCCACAGGAAGAGCCACCGGCTGGAGGCCCCGTGAGCGGCCGGAGAAGGCCCATTCATTCATCTTAGCAATCTTGTCCTCAGGACCTGGACGCAGCCTGGAAGACCAGGAGGCAGTAGAGGGCGCTGTAGTAAATCAAGGTTCCCAGGAAGCCACCTGGGTGCAAGAAAAGAAGCTGCTCTTGCGCGCCCCCGCGCCCCTTCCCATCTGAAGTGAGGCCTGGTAGAATCCACCCTGACCAGTGGCTGAGGGGTGACTTTCAAGCTTGGGTCTCCCTATCTGTGGTGCGATGCAGGCTGACAACTTTTCCAAGCTCTGGGACCTCGTTAGCCTCAGGTAGATGCTCAACAACTGCCTCTTCCCACCCTTCCTGAGACAGCAGAGTCCGGGGTGAACATGTGGGAGATGCAGAAAGCCCAGGAGAGCAGTGGCCTACTTCTGTTTGCAAGCAGAGAGAAAACTAATGGTCCTTCATATGTGTTGTAGATTTTTAACGAATCCCACTTTTATGGTAGGGAAGTTTCTGTGTAACAACTCTGATTTCTGGCCTCTGCTGGTCAGATCAGCCGTTCCGCTCCTCCTGCCTGGCAGCTGGGGCCACTGAGTAGCAAACCCATGAGAAGGTCCAGCGGTTCTGGTCCCCGGCCCACCTTGTTCCTATACTGCACACGTCAGTCTCCTAGCCTTGTTGTCCTTTGAGCTCTTGAGTCCCAGCTTGAGTGGACACTAAGGGACTTACATTTTAAGCATGGGTAGACAAGGGTGGCCCCACGAAAATGGGACACAAACATGTGACTTAGGCCATGCACACCTGCAGGTCAGGACTGTGTCCCCACGGCCCACACAGTAGGTCAGTGGATCACAAAGTTAGAGAAAAAAGGATTAACTGCCTGCTGTGTATGGAGGTATGTCTGGATTCCTAGGCAGACATTTGGGACTTTGTTCAATACACTGTGTTAGTTTCCTGTTGTTGCTGTAACAAACTTGGTGGCTTGAAACAACACGCATTTATTCTCTCATGACTGTGAAATGGGTTTCACTGAGCTGAAATCAAGGTGTCATCAGGGCAGGCTGCTATGAAGCTCTAGGGGGGAATATTTCATTGCCTTTTCCAGCTTCTGGAGGCTGCCACATTCCTTGGTTTGTGGCCCCTTCTTCTGCCTGTGAAGCCAGCAGTGGTGGTGAAGTCTTTCTTATGCTGCCATCTCTCTGGCTGTGAAACTTCTATCTCCTCCTTATAAAGACCCTTGTGGTTGCATTTAAAGCTCACCTGTAATCTGTGACAATCTCCCTACCTCAGGGTCCGTAATCACCTTTTTTGCTCCCCACCAGCACACTTGATTCACCTGCAAAATCCCTTTTATGTGTGAGATAACAGAGGTTCCAGGGATTAGGATGTGAATATCTTTGGGGGCCATTATTAAGCACCCTTCTCCATCTCCTTCCTACTTTGAAAACAAGGGGCAATTTTATGTGGGATAGTTTCAGGAAACAGGAGTCCTCTGCAGCCTTGGACACATGCAGGAGTGGCAGGTGGGTGTGACCAGACAGAGGAGCTGCCTGGAGGATCACTTTGGGTGGGGGGCGCTCAACCTTGCTCCAGCCTAACACTGGGAGAGGGAAGTTTCCATTGAGGGAGGAGGAAGGGGGACTGCCTCTTCCATCCCCAGTCTTCCGAGGACCTACTGACCTGTTGCTGTCACACTGGGGCCTGGGGAAGCACACCAGGCTGGAGAAGGAGCTGGGTGCTGGTGATCCGGTAGGCAAGCAGGTAAGATCTGCACTGGGGACATGGAGGAAGAGGACAATGGATCCCTGTGTCCCTGGTGGATCCAATTGTTCCTAAGGGAGTTTAGAGAATTCCAGTGGCCTTCACAACCTAGTGGCCCTGGATAACCACTAGTCATTGGTGGATACCCTGTCCCTGGTGGATTCTAATTGCAGTTCTGGACAGTGAGGCTGCTTGGACTATACATCCCAGATGCCTCGGCATTAGCTGGCCTCTGCCTTCAACTGTCAGTAAGCTTCAGTCTGCACTTACAGACCCAGAGAGTGTCCCTATACCCTGTCTTGGTGGTGGCAGTCTCAGGTCACAGAGGTCTCAACATCCACTAGCTTTTGCCTGCAGCTCCCAAAATGCTCCAGCCCACACTTCTGGACTGTAATGGCACCCCGGTATATGCCACAGAGGCCTCAATGTTCTCTGGCCTTGGTCTATTCCCACAATGCCCCGAGCAGCAATGCCAGCCTTTGAGACACTCCACAGAGGCTGTGCGCTTGGGGCTTCACCTCCTATCTCTTTACTCCTGGTCCACAGTTCCCACAATGTTCCAGAGGGCACTTATGGTTCTAAAGACACTTCAGACTCCATTTTTTAAAAAGGTTTTATTTATTTTCAGAGAGAGGGAAAGGGAAGATGAAAGGGAGAGAAACATCAATGTGTGGTGGTTTCTCATGCATACCCCCACTGGGGACCTGGCCTGCAACCCAGGTATGTGCCCTGACTGGGAATCGAACCAATGGTTCACAGGCTGGCACTCAATCCACTAAGCCACATCAGTCAGACCCCAGACTCCATTTTTTGGGGCCTCTGCACCTGCTCACCACCCCCAGTACTTGCCCCAGGGCCTTTAAACATGCACTCTCCCAGTTACCTTCTGCTCAACCCTCATGCCTCAGTCCAAAACACACTCATTCTTTACAATTGCCTATGATGGCACACCCTCCACCCCCACAGAGCACATCCACATCCGCTGGCTCAGGCCACAAAAGACCCACTGGGATGGAGTCAGTGCTGTTACCTCTGCACCGTAGAGTGGCTAAGAGACTGCTGGTTCCTCCCATACTGCTGGCCTTTCCCAGAGAGAGCCACTCCTACAGGCTAGTTGAGTTCTTTGGTGAGGAGGTAAGGGGGACCCTGAAGCATGGATCCTGGAGAGTACTAAGCCCTGCACTCCTGGCTCATTTCTCCATCCACACAGATACCTGTGTACACATCCAAGTTTATTCTTGCTCTGTTTCTGGGCCCAGGGTCAGATGTGTGACAGGAACATTGATTGGTTGCTTCTGGCAAGCAGGGACCTGGCCCACAACCCAGGAATGTACCCTGACCTAGAATAGAACTGGCAACCCCTTGGTTTGATGGACAACACCCAACCCACTGAGCCACACCAGGCAGGGCAATGTTTTTAACTTTGAATCATGTAGTCATTTGTTCAGTAGCCATAACTACTTGTTATCCTTGCAAACAGTTTAGGACACAAGGTTAATTGATTACATCCAAAGGTTATTTTGCCTCATTAATTTATTTTCAGAAAGAGGGGAAGGGAGGGAGAAAAACATCAGTGTGGGAGAGAGATATCAATCGGTTGCCTCTCTCATGACCCCAACTGGGGACCTGGCCTGCAACCCAGGCATGTGCCCTGACTGGGAATAGAACCAGCGGCCTTTCAGTCGTCAATCCAGTGAGCCACACCAGCCAGTGTTTTGTTGTTGTTGTTGTTCTTCTTCTTGTTTTAACATTTGAAAGGCTTCAGACATAAGACATGCAAGGTAGTTCCTCAAACATGGCTGCTCCAGCTCCGCATTAAAGTGCCTCCCTTTATTATTTATTTTTTGGCAATGGTCAGCACTGGGCCCTGCCCCTTCAGATGTCTTGTTGGCGGGCCAGATATTCAGAGTCTCCAGGTACCCTCACACACGGCCTGGTATATTTCCTGTGTCAGGGGCCGGAAGGCCTGGGCCTGGTTGTCCAGCACAAACAGTGAGTCAGCAATGACGCCCACGTTGAAGCCCTCACGCACCAAGTGGGACTTAATGAGTTTGAAAGTTTTCGTGATCTCCAGGGTGTCCTGCAGGGGCAGTGATTGTAACTCCGACTGTGACCCTCACAGCCAAGACCTCCCACCCACCATACAAACTACTCCCGCCCTGGGCTCACCTGAATGCGGATGAAATGGGGGACAGCATAAGCAGGGAGCCAAGTGCGGACATGCTGGTACAGTCTCTGTCCATCGAAGGCCTGGCCAGGGACCAACTGCACAGCGGCCATGCCCACCTTTCCCTCATACCCTGGGAAGCACACCAGTCACTCTCCGCCGACCCTTTCACCTGGCACAGCGCGGTTCACTGGCTGTGTCCTAGCAGTTGCCCCACCGCTAAAATCGGGTTTAAAATGAGGTGAACCTGCCCTACAAACCGTAGAGTCGCAGGTCGGATTCCCAGTCACGGCACATGCCTGGGTTGCAGGCCAGGTCCCCAGTAGGGGGCACTTGAGAGGCAACCACACAGTTTCCCTCTCTCCCTCCCTTCCCCTCTCTAAAAATAAGTAAATAAAAAATAAAGTGAGGTGAACTCTACACACCTGGCACAGGCACACCATAGACATTCACCTCTTGCAGGAAGTCCACGAGTGACAACACACCCTCCACCTCCCTCGTGGATATGTTCTCACCCTTCCATCTGCGGGGTAGTAGCCGGGCTTGTGACCACGCCCCTGATAATAAGCAGGCCCCGCCTCTTGCCCACCAAGCCCCGCCCCTCTGGAATCCAGAAGCCCCGCCTCTCCAGTCGGCCTCCCTTTAGTGTCTAATAGCCCCGGTGGCCCCGCCTTCCAGTCCCGCCCCCATAAACCCCGCCCAGAACCGGAAGGTGTCCCCGAGGCGGTCGCGGAAGTAGAGGAATCCTTCGCGGTCCATGGACAGCACGTCGCCTGAATTGTAGTAGACGTCGTCCGGGCGCCGCACTTTTCGCACCAATTTCCGTTCCGAAAGCTCTCGAGGTCCGCGGTAGCCCAGGAAAGGGTGGCGGCCTAACACCCGACTCAACAGGAGCCCCGGCTCCCCTGGGGGCATTAAGCAAGGACAAGAACCTCAGAAGCCCACCAGCCCCCCGCTGGAGATTTGCAACAACGATGAGCTTTATCACCCCCGACAGAGACAGGGAGATGTGGAAATGGAAGAAACAGACTCAGACACAGGGATAGGGAGACAGAAAATGAGAGAAAGACAGACAGAAGGTGGCATGGGAAGCCCAATGAAAGTAGGAAAAGGATAACAAGGGTGGACAAGGGCGAGACAAATGATGGCGGGAATAAATGTGGCCAGGGCCTTGCAAAGCCCCAGAAGAGAAGACTAAGAGAAGGCAGAGGACAGCAAATTGATGCCTGGGAGGACATGGCTTCCACAACAAGCTTGAGGCAACGACTCCAATGGAAACCCAGAGACACAGCAGACAAGAGGTTGAGACTGGAAAGCCGGGCAGAGCTGAGAAGCTGAGAGGCAGAAGGTCCCAGATGGTGGTCAGACGGGCTGGGCAGCGTCCAGGTGAGAGCTGCTGCGGACACCACAATAGGGCACTGACCTCAAAGCTTTGGGTGGCTTGCTCCAGCCAAGAAGGAAGTGGGGTCCCTACCCTTCCCACACCCAGGGAAGGTTCCCCAAGCCCTATACCTGGACCCACAGGCACACAGAAGCCTGCTTTGTCCCTCACAGGCTCGGCGGCCTCCGTGTCAAACTGTACAAGCTCGAAGGGGGACAGCATCTGAGTAGAGGGTGGAAAGGTGTCAGCAGAGGTGCTGTGCACTCAGCTTCGATCAGGGTCACTGCCATACCCAACCCACTCACTCGAAGGAAGCAACTCGTCTTGCCCACAGCCCCACAGCGCCCTGGATAGTTCACAAAGCCAATGTTGCCTTCCGTGGAGCCGTAGACTTCCAAGATCCGAATGGGGCCAAAGCGTTTCTGGAAGGTCTCCCACACATCTGCCCGGAGTCCGTTTCCCACTGCCAGGCGGACTGTATGTGTCCGGTCCTCTTGTCGCTGCAGGGATGTCCCAAGGAGGGTAACAAGGAGCTACCTGAGAACCCTTTCCTGGGAGGGCTACCTCAGGTCTGAGGAGTTACCTGGGAGGCGATGAGGGGTGTATACCTAGGGAGTCTCCCAGGGGTTCTTACTTGAGAATAGTTACCTAGCATCTGTACTTAGAAGGTTACCTGCAGGTATTACCTAGAGGCAGAGAG